TCGCCCTTCTCTATCAGCCAATCAACACCCGCTCTTCTCACTGCTGCGCCAATCCATGCCGGGCGTGCGCCTCAGTCCACCCCGGATGCCCCGCAACTTCAGATCCATCCGCGCCCTATAATATCGGGATTTTTAAGGTTCTGAGAGCCTACACTAGAATTCCAGGACGCTTTTTCCCTCCAGAATAGGGAGTGGCGAGCAGAAAGGTGAGTATATTTCACAACAGTGCTCTTTTACTTGGGACTACTTCGGGAGGCGGATGGACACGTCAGCGCCGGTGGGCGGGGACTGTACGCGCGACACCATATAAGTAGGGGTGGGTCGCGTCATCAGCTGGAGTACAGCTGCGGCGGAGAGGCGGGAGTGCTGTTGGTGTGTGACGCGCAGGGCCTAAGACGTGAGTGGGGTGGCGGGGGAAGCGGAAAGCGTTTAGTGGGCTGTAAGATATAAATTGGGGTGGCGGCTTGTCGGGCAGGGGTTTTTGCTGGGCAAGGAGGGGAATGATGCAAAGTCTCGCTTTACCGTGAACCATTGTGAGAACTGTATTGGGGGGGGGGGGGGTGTAGAATTTCTCCTTGGGGAAGGAGGTGGGGGTACGGGAAGATGGCGGAGGCTGTATCTGTCTGTCCCGGAAGTGCGTTGCTGAGTCACTGCCGCGGGGGGAGCAGCGCGGCGCTGCGGGCGCGGGTCTTGCCGCGGCTGTGCGGGGCAACTGGGGGTCTTGCGAGCCGGCCGGTGAGAGGTAATGGAAGGAGTCTGGTGTAGGAGCGTAGGGTGCCGGCCTTGGAAAGGAGTTCAGGTCCTTAAGAGTGAAAAGTCGGGGAATGGCTGTAGACAATACTAACGGGAAAAAAAGGCAGTCAGAAACACCCCAGAAGCTTTAAGTGGTTTTTGTACAGTGTGAAACGGCAATAAACCGTTTAGTTAGAAATAATTGAAGACTGTATTTCGATAGCTGAAACTTGTGTATGTTTTGCAGTTGAACATGCAGATCTTTGTGAAGACCCTGACTGGCAAGACCATCACCCTGGAGGTTGAGCCCAGTGACACCATTGAGAATGTGAAGGCAAAAATCCAGGACAAAGAAGGCATTCCCCCTGACCAGCAGAGGCTGATCTTTGCTGGCAAGCAGCTGGAAGATGGTCGCACCCTGTCTGACTACAACATCCAGAAGGAATCCACCCTCCATCTTGTGCTGCGCTTGAGGGGTGGTATGCAGATTTTCGTGAAGACCCTGACTGGCAAGACCATCACCCTGGAGGTTGAGCCCAGTGACACCATTGAGAATGTGAAGGCCAAGATCCAGGACAAAGAAGGCATTCCCCCTGACCAGCAGAGGCTGATCTTTGCTGGCAAGCAGCTGGAAGATGGGCGCACCCTGTCTGACTACAACATCCAGAAGGAATCCACCCTCCATCTTGTGCTGCGTCTCCGAGGTGGCATGCAGATCTTTGTCAAGACCCTGACTGGCAAGACCATCACCCTGGAGGTTGAGCCCAGTGACACCATTGAGAACGTGAAGGCCAAGATCCAGGACAAAGAAGGCATTCCCCCTGACCAGCAGAGGCTGATCTTTGCTGGCAAGCAGCTGGAAGATGGTCGCACCCTGTCCGACTACAACATCCAGAAGGAATCCACCCTCCATCTTGTGCTGCGTCTCCGAGGTGGCATGCAGATCTTTGTCAAGACCTTGACTGGCAAGACCATTACTCTTGAGGTTGAGCCCAGTGACACCATTGAGAATGTGAAGGCCAAGATCCAGGACAAAGAAGGCATTCCCCCTGACCAGCAGAGGCTGATCTTTGCTGGCAAGCAGCTGGAAGATGGTCGCACCCTGTCTGACTACAACATCCAGAAGGAATCCACCCTCCATCTTGTGCTGCGCTTGAGAGGTGGCATGCAGATCTTCGTGAAGACCTTGACTGGCAAGACCATCACCCTGGAGGTTGAGCCCAGTGACACCATTGAGAACGTGAAGGCCAAGATCCAGGACAAAGAAGGCATTCCCCCTGACCAGCAGAGGCTGATCTTTGCTGGCAAGCAGCTGGAAGATGGACGCACCCTGTCTGACTACAACATCCAGAAGGAATCCACCCTCCATCTTGTGCTGCGCTTGAGAGGTGGCATGCAGATCTTCGTGAAGACCCTGACTGGCAAGACCATCACCCTGGAGGTTGAGCCCAGTGACACCATTGAGAATGTGAAGGCCAAGATCCAGGACAAAGAAGGCATTCCCCCTGACCAGCAGAGGCTGATCTTTGCTGGCAAGCAGCTGGAAGACGGACGCACCCTGTCCGACTACAACATCCAGAAGGAATCCACCCTCCATCTTGTGCTGCGCCTGAGGGGTGGCTGTTAAGTTATTGTGCACCTTGCTTAACAATGGGTTTGCCAGTAGCACGTCTTTGCACTGTAGTTCTGTAATGTCTTAAGTTAAATGCAGGGTTAAAGCAAGCTGAAATATCTGCTGAACAACTGAAATGCTAATAAAGTTTTCTGTTGCACATTACAACTTGTAGTCTGTTTCAGTTCAAGCTAGTAAAACCGGTATATTTAAGTGACATGCTTACCGTGGTTTTCTTCCATGGCAGTTAAAGCCTCTTTGCATGCTTAATGAGGCTGTTGTGGATGAAGCAGATCTGGATTAAAGTTTTAATTCAAGCACTAAAACAATGTTGTTTCTTTTTACTGTAGTTAATTTCCAGGAAGGATAATTTGGTAAAAGGCTCGGAAAGCCACACACAAAATACAAGGGTGAGCTTGTCAGTGCAGTGGGGTGGGCTTTGCTGCAACTTGTGAACTTGCAATGTGTTTTAAATTGTCTTCAGTAGTGGTGTGAGCAGCTGCACTGCCTGATAGTGCTATGGGGAGACTTGAGCTGCAGCATGCATACTGGAGGTGGGGTGTACATGAGCAAATACAAGTAGTTTTGTATTTAAGTGGGGAAAATCCTGTTGCAGTGGCAGCCTCTGGAAGGTGCAAAACAGGGTGGGGTGGTGGTCTGGCTGATGTGCATGGAATGTGATCTGGGGAAGTGCCAACTGCAGTGAGAGTGGCTGGTGGGGTAGGAGTGGGCACGTGGGAGGGTGTCTTCAGGCACTGTGTCTAGTGAACTGCCTGAAATTAATGGAAATACATGACTACTGAGCCAGGGTAACAGCTTTCTGGTTTGGGCCAAGTACAAGTTTTCTACACAGTCATTTAATGCCAAAAGCTGGGAAATTCTCACTGAAGCCTGGATTGTGGTTATTTTGTTTTAATGGGGTGGGGTTAAATGGTTTGGTTCCACTGAGCAGTGGTGGGTCTGATAACCTATGTGCCTATTCACGTGAGTGTTACCAGGTTGTACCCATGGTGGCTGCCTGTCTGTTGAATTTTGACAGCTGCTTACCTTGCAATGGGAATCCTGGCACCTATATGCTGTGTGCACAGTGTTTCTGTGTCAGCACACCTTGCTTTTTACTGATAACCCGGTATTACGCACTATCTTGGTAGTTTGGGGGTTGGAGGGTTTTTTGTCCATTGTAGGTTTGCTGTGAAGGTTTGTTCCTCCTGAATGTCAGCTTTCAGTGTAACATCACAGTGTCTGTGGTAAGTAAGCCATTCATTAGCAGTGTGTTTTTGGCATGGATTCAATCCTGGCTAAGAAGTTGCACTACTCATTTCCGGAAGGCTGCAATAAAACTGGTTGTTTTGTTGTAAGTAAAACTCATTGTGGTTTAATAGTTAGATTTTTTTCTCAATAGTGGGATTTGCTTCCCTGCCTGCTATACCTGGCTATGCCAGCATAAACCTGAATATTTCTGTAACCAACTGCTCTTTCTACCATACGAGATACCTTAGATTGAGTTTTCCTGTAGTTGCTGTTTTGCCTTAGTTATTTCATACTTTTTGCTGTTCAGGCACACATCCAGCTCCTGCTTTTTCCAGTCCAGCTGCCTAGGCAGGCTGCCCAGGGAGGCTGTGGAGACTCATTCCATGGAGATCCTGAGAGGCTGGCTGGCCGTGGTTCTGGGCAGCCAGCTCTAGGTGGCACTGGTCAAGTAGGGGAGCCGGCTGAGATGCCCTCGAGAGGTCCCTGTGAGCCCTTACCGTTCCCCAATTCTCTCTGGGTGTCTGATAGCCCAGTTCTCCACTCAGCAGTGCACGAACTCCTGTCCAGAGGAGATAGAACGCTGAATAAATTTGCATTGCTTATCTTTTTCTGCTGCTGTTAAGCTCCATGGTACAACTAGCTGCTTTATCTTCTCTGGTTTATAATTAACAGATGTCCTTTCTCAAGTTGTAATAATTAAGCTAATCTGTGTGGTAACAGATGCTGACTGGTTGGTTGGGTAACACAGGCTGCAGGTACAGTTTGCCCACTTTCAGATAGAGGTCTGTAAGTGGCAGATTGCCAGTGTAGGAGCTTTGGCCGGTTGGGTAAAACTGGATGTGCCCATGTGCTTGTTTCCCCAGCTCTGTAGGAAGATTTCCTTAGGTGAAGCTTGTGCACAAAGTTAATTAGCATTTGGCTTACTAAAAATGCCACATAATGGCACATCCATAACGCTAAAGCACAAGGAGTGAAATCCCCAGAGCTGTAGTGTTGCAGCACTACCTGGGTGAAGTGTGGAGCTGGCCTCACTGAGATTGTGGGGGCACTTGGGTTTATGCTCTGCTGCTCCTTGTTTTATCCAGACTTCTGATCCCCTAGCTAATGGAGCGATGACAGTCACTAGCTGGAGAGATGGCTGCAAGGGATTTTGTCATTAATGAAGAAAATTCTTTGCAATTTATCTTAAATGATGTGAATTAGGGACATTATGTAAATGACAAGGAAATGTAAATATGAATGTGCATAACATGCATTGTTTGCACTGAAGAAGATAGGAGCAAAAGACACAGGAAGAGGTATCAGGCAATGTAAATGACTGATGTTGTTAAGATACAACTGTGGTACCTCAGTTCGATCTGCTTAGAGCCAACTATTCATAACTAAAGAACTTGATAGGCTTTAGCCAGAATCTGTATGCTATTTAAATGGAATAATCCTGCTCCCACACCAACAGCAGGTTCTAATAACATGTAATCCTGCTGCAAGGTGAACTTCGTGACTGGCCTTTGGGTTTTTTTTTCTGACAGCTTCAGCTAATTTCTAGTCTGTTCTCTCTTGAACAAAAAAAATCCGGAGATTTCAAGGGGTTTGTCTTCTGTGCTTTTAAAAACATACTTCAAAGAAGACAACTGAGATAACCCCGTGACAGTGGTATTTGGTTATGTTTAGTGTTTTGCTGTGTTAGCAACTGTCCTGAAAAGTAATCCTGTAGGAGAAGTGGGGATTAAGGCAGATAAACGTTGGGAATACCTCAGTATGTTTGCAGTCTCGTCTGCAGTTCCAAAGGCATTGTGTAGCAGCTATGTCCAAAGATCCTTGGCTGCACGATTTTATATTTACGGAATGCTGCTGCATCATCCAAACCAGTTTCATTTGGAACTTGAGGTTTTCAATTAGACGAGTTTCTGTTAACTCGTTTGATACAGAAGTGAATGGCTGTAATTCTCACAAATATGTGATTGCAGCCCCGCTATTTCTGGAGAATTTCGTACTGAGGGTGTTTTCATAAACAGCAGGAATTCAGGTTTCCTTGGTGGCCACTGGATGTCACTGTTTCTCCACAAAAGCGTTTTGTAACTACCCTTGGGTTTCCTATTTTGCTATTTGATTGTCAGGGGAGCATTCCTTCGGGCTATAATCCTACAGAAAGGGATACATCAAGTAGAAAGCTATCTCCATGTAAGGAATAACAGAAGTGGATGTTTCCTTCAAGGTCTGAGAAGTATATATAGATAGGAACCTTTAAATATTACGATGTAAGACTAGCATTTACAGAAATACTGTCATGTAAATGAATTCAGTCCCCAGGGACATCAGACAGGTTCTGACAAGGAATTATATGTAAGAATATTTGGATTTGATTGGGCACTGGCTGGTGTCTCTAGAAATACACATTTCCATCTGTGTAGCTATAACAAAGAGAGCTGCTAAAATTCATGCCTTCAGAATGGGGTTGCATGAAAAAAGACTGTATTTTCCAAGGTGTGAACGTACAACTTTAAAACAAACTCTTCTTTTTTAATTAACCATGTGCCTTTCGTGAGGTTTGAGTGAAGCACTGCCCTACCTGTTGGTTTGGAGAGAATTTGGTCCACCCTTGTGTGCTGATACTACAGCGTGCTTACCTTTCTCCTGTAAAGGTAAGTTTGAGCTGCTGCTCCTCAGAGTGGCTACAGATGAATGCTGTAACTAAATTACAGGCACATGTAAGTGACTTTGTTCTTCTATTTACAGCATCCAAAAAGGATATTAATCATAAGATGATTTTTAGTATTTGGTAAAAATGGGCGCTTAGGTGAGCAGAGAATACATATTACAGGAAATATGCTTGTTCCAGCTTTTCACAGCACCATCTTCCTCATGCTTCCTTTTGAGTTCTGCTTAAGCAGGTTCTGGTCATCACTTTTCCTGCCATGAATTACTCTGTTTCATCTTATATCATCTATAATTTTATCATGAATATATTTTATAGTAGTATGAAATGGAATTTACTGATTTGACTTAAAGTTTCACTTAGTAGTTAAGAGTTTGACTTCTCTGTTCCCAGGTTTAAGGTTTCGACGTGTCTCCTTGTCAGGAGAAACTTAGTGCCATCAGACGCATTTGCATCAGTAAAATAAGTACTGAGCAAGTGCAGGATTCCTTCTTGTTCCCCCAAATTAAAGCCTCAAAAGGCAAGAGGATCACATGGCGCTTTCCAAACTTCAGGTTGGCAGATAGGTGAAATGAATTTGCTGCTTTTATTCTCCCTGCATGCTGCTTTGGATGGCTTCCTCCTGAGTCCCAGCAGCTTTCAGGACTTGAAGTTTTGGTGGCAAGATGCTTGTTAAGCATTCCAACCAGCTCAGCTGGCTGGTGTGCAGCAGTGTCGTCATCCCATGACAGACCTCAGAACGCTGTCACTGGCAAGTGCATGTTTGGGCAGATCTTGTCCTTTTTCCCTGCCTCGCTCTGAAATGGGAGCACAAGTGTTTTACCCTAGCGTACTCTGCAGAAGCATGTGCGCATGTGTGTGCACATACCAGTGTTTCTGTGTTCCCCAGCAGCTCCATGGTTTTGTTTTGCTGTGGTGACCCCTCAGCTGGCAGTGATTCCTTTCCCAGCAATCTGCACATTCTCCTTCCTCTGTGTAAGCTATTAAAACCAGATGCGCAGAAAGAACTCTGTTATGATGAACTTTTGTGGGCTGATTTCATTTCTTGGCTGGAATAGTGGGCTGTCTCCCATGAAAGCTGGGGGGAAAGTCCAAGAGGATTTAAACTCTTAAGTCTGAGCTAAACTCCTGGGTCTGAATCTATGTCTGTTGATATCACAGTAAATTAAGTGTAACGCAGCTAAACCAAACTGAACTAAATCAATGCAAAGCTGGAATGAGAGATAGGAGAGATGAGATCTGACCTTGCATTTATCTGCCTATGTTTGTTCTTTGTAGGTTATTCTGTGGGTCCTAATACGTCATTAAACCTGGAAAGAGTAAGTAGCTCTGCATTGGTCCTGGATCAGCTTAATTTTAAAACACAGGAATCTCAGAAATAAGCTTGTGATCTCGTGCAAAACCATGAAAGAGGAAAAGGCACCCTGCCATTTAATGGGTGTATTTATAGGAAGGTCTTCTCACAGCCTGTATCTGACTCAAAGTAGAAGCCATCTGGGAATGTTTCTATGGGTAAGGACCACATTGCAGGAAGTGTCACATCATCCTGCAGCCCCGTCAGACAAGGACTGCTTTAGGCTCTCTTTCGGCTCATGGTAGGTTTGGAAGAAGAAAGCAACAGCCAGAGTTCAGCGTGTCATGATGTGACACCCCTTCTCAATGTTTTTTGACCAATGGTAATTAAAGTTTTGAGATTTCTTATGGAATCTGCCCCCACTATCAAGCTATTGATTAGAAGAGCTCTTTACTATTTTGGCAGTTAATAAGGTTCTCTAGATGACCCCTAGATCCCATTAAATGCCTTTGTAAACCATCAGTCCTCTACAGAGTACAGATGAGAACCACTCTGCGGCAACACTGTGCTGGGGAAGGCTGTTGAGACTGTGGGTGCTGAATGTCATCCTGCACTGATGCTGAGGTCTCAGTTGTGTTAGGAATGGAAGAGAAAAAACTAAGACACTTGGTGTGGGTTGATGTCCTCTGTTTCCCAGGGTCCTGTCTTGTGAGTGGTAAGTGAAGTGGTACTGGTGTGTGTACATGGTCTCAGCGACAGGCAGTTATAGGAGTGACCAGTCAGTGCTCCTAGAAGTAGCTTCACCAAGATGTTCGCTCTTTTGGAGTGCTCATTTCCTTTTGCATAAGGCAATAAGCACTAAGGGCAAATGAAGTAACCAGTGGCCTAAGTGTCTGGAAACTAAGTCTGCTTTGTGCAGTTTCCTGTGCCTGTGATGGGTAGCTGACACTGTACTTTGTACGGTAACGTTCTGGCTAGTTCATTCTCTCATACCATTTGCACTACCTCGTAGCTGGGCTGTGTGAAGTTGTGCAAGGAGAACTGGCTTCCCACAGAGCAGTTGACCTCAGATGTTTCGCTGCTTACTTGCTTGTCCTGGGGCTAACTGAAGGAGCCTTGTGACACCTCACAATGAAACCATGGGCTCTAGCACTGTCAGGATCAAACCAGCTGCCTCCCTTCTGATCTGAGTGGGCTATTGTTGAAAGCCCTGAGATGCTGCCTCTATACGTGCAGGCATGGGTTAAGCATTATGAATTTGCAATAGCCAGCCAGCTTTCCCATATAAGAGCACTGCACTCATTGGCTCTCTCTTTTACTGAGAAATCTATCTAGTCATTTCCTGTGCAAGCCCTTCGCTTGGCAGAAAGCTATACAGTTGAGTAAATAACAATAATCCGTGGTTATTCCCTCTCACAGACAGCTTGGATTCTCTCATGGACCACCACCATCTAGAAGTTCAACGCTGCACTGTTAACAGGCTGCTATTATGAGTGTGGTCATCTCTGCAGAGGAGGAGGACTCTCACCCATGGATGTAAATAACTTGGGGTCTGCTTTCACACTAATTAACACTTGTTGGTATTTGGCTTGGTTTATACCGACAGATTATTTACCCTCTGAAGAATCCATTGGGACTCCTTGTCAGATCAGTTCTTGGGTGGAGCTTGCAGCAACTTGGGGTAAGTGCTGTGCTCTTCCTCTTTTGACAGCAGGGCTTTTCTGTGCTGCGCTACTCAAAATGGCTTGTCAGAGTCACGGAAAGAAACAACTCGGCTCTTGAGTAGAGAAGTGAAAGTTGAGCTGGCAAACAGAGAGTGGTCTCTGTTTTCTAGGAATGGACAAAGTGGATATATATATTATAGGGTCCTTTTTTTATAGGACCGTTTGCTCTCTCTTTTAAACCAGACGGTCTGTCTGTACAACTCTCTCCAGTGCTGTGGAGAGATGGAAACTGCAGCTGAGAAATGATTTTGGGGAAAGGAAGACAGAAAAGCAGAAGCAAACTATTATGGAAGTACAAATAGCTCTGTAAAGGATCAGCAAATATGCCAGTAAGTGTTTTGGGGGAGGAAACAAGTCTGAAAGGGTGCTATAGGGTGTATGCCTGTGTGTCCAGAGGAATGTTTGTCATTAGAGCGCAGACTAAACTGAATGGCTGAATTATCATAATGGTTTGTCTTGAAATCAGCCCTTGGATTTCCTGCTGTGAGCTGCGTGGAGATGTTTTGTGGCCGTTTGCTGCCTAGAACTATGTTTCTTCATATCCTAATCAAAGGCGTAATGCCTATGCTTTCTTATGTATGTCAATTTACCTCTTTGACGGTACAGGCTATGGAGTCTGGCTGTAGTCCCAGCAAAGGCGATTTTGCTTCAGGGAAAACCTGTTAACCATTTGGAGGGAGTACATGTGAATAAGATGGAATTATTAAATAAAGCTTTGCTTCAGGTTCGTAATCGTGGATTACCTTGCTGCCTCACAAACTGTGTGAAACTGGAGTCGTATGCTGACGACAGATAGCTTGCATTGGGTGTGGATCTGAGATGTATCCAGATGCATATGAAGAGATGTCTCAAAAGAGTAAAAAAGGAGTACAGGACATACTTAATAAAGTGGGCTGGCTGGATGCTCTGATGAATACTGATGCTCTCTGTGGAGCAGATCCAGATCCAGCTTTATTGTTGGGAAACCTGTGCTCTGTGCAGGCTCTAAGGGTCTTGAGTGTTCCCCTGGCAGCTGGGCTGTGCATCCGCCTCTGGTGTGGGGCTCAAGTTCAAGCCCTGTGCTCAAATGGATAGGCAGCAGATCCAAACACTGGGAAGATCCCACTCCTTTTGCCCAAGGATGAAAAATAAGAATGCCTGAGGGGAACGTAATTTGCTTGTATGTTTTCCATGTAGAAACAGCGTAATGCTTACTAACAAAGAACAGGAACAAACTTCCCACTCACTTGCAAAGGAGGCCTACAGTTAATCTTATCTTTTTGGCCACTTGGTGACTAGCCTCTGTTGGCTGCACTGAGACAAGAACAATGACTATAGTCTCCTGAAGATCCACTTTCTTTGCCTTTTAAGTAAGGAACCTGTGCTGCTGCCAACAGGTGAGGTCATCTCACAAAGGGGGTTCAGATGTTCTGCAGACCAGTTGCTTGTATTTCATGAACTGCTTGTGCACTTCTTTTCCAGCGGTACCCTATCTAAGGCCTCGTATTTATTCAAATGCTCCCACTGTGCACAGTTTTACTGAGTCTCTCTCTCAAGGGTCCCATAGTCAACTGTCGGAATGCTGTACCTGGAAGCGTGCTTTCCTCTCTGTGCTGCGTTAAACACATTATAGGTTTGTGAACAAATGATGTCAATTCTCCCTCTCCCTTGCAGGTTTAGTCTCCTAGCGCAGAACATCTTTGGTGATCTGAAAGACCATCTCTCTTAGAAATGGATAACTTCACAAGTGGGCAGCCAGGCCCAGGTCAGAGGAACAGGCTGATGGGATTGCTAGAAACAGATGACAGTACCCCCGAAGATAAACGTGCACCTAGTAAAAAGGAAGAAAGATCAGGACCTGGAAAGAGAGAGCAACGACCCTTGGAAACACCGTATCAGGAGGAAAGCAGTAACTTTCCTCCTAAAATCAAGGTTAATCTGAACTATCGGCCAGGACTTGGTAGCAAGTGAGTAACTGTTGGGTATTTGACAAGGGTGCAGTCCTTCCTTATCTGTACTGATCCCTGCTGCTGGGGGCCTATAGGCTTCACAAAGTCTAAACTAAAAGTGGCAGTGTAGAAGTATTACAGGCATCTGGTGGGAGGTAGTTAAAAGAAGAAAGGGGACATATTAGCCCTTTCCTTCTGTGCTTGGGAGGTAGGGTGTATGTTGTGTATTTTGTGTAAATCTGAACTAACACTAAATAAGCCGAGTTGGGTGTAAGAGCATCTTAGCATGGAGCCCTATACTTGCTACAGAGGGCTGTAAACCAGTTCACAGAGTGTTTTGCACTGTATTATGGGACTGACTCTGGTCCTGCAGCTATCTTGGGCATCTCTGTCTTTATGCTCTGGGTGTATTCCAGGGTTGCACATCAGACTGGATCTGGGAAAAGCTCCAGCTGATGGAAGGAGCAGCCACTTAAGAGAATTCTGGGAAAGAACTGTCTCTATTTTTCCCTTGACTTAAAAATAAAATAGTTGTTTTTTCTGACAAGCTTTTCTGCTTCTCTCCTTTCTTACACCATCTCTCTAGACCTTACTGCACACTCTTGTCTTGTGCTCTCCAAAACTTCCTAACACTGCATTTCTTCCATAGCCAAAAGGACCCAAATCGCTTTGACAGAGGCAGGCTCTTCAGCGCCGTCTCAGGGGGCAGCCCCGAGGCACTGGATGGTTTACTTGAGTACTTAAGGAGGACCTCCAAATTTCTCACCGATTCTGAATACACAGGTAGAGTCCTGCTTAGTACTCCATAACTAGGGTTAGCAGAGGCAGTGCTTCTCAATGCAAGGGGGAAGGCAGGGGAACCTGCTCGTGGTTCTTTGCTTTCTTCAGCCCTCTGTCCATACTTCTATTTTCCTAACGCTCACTTGAGGATGGAGAATACCATTAACTATATATATCTTAAGGCTTTTGCCTCTACTCCAGACTAAAAATACTAAGAAAGGCCTTTAGAATAATTATTTGGTCCTACAGTGAGAGTTAAGTTCTGAATCAAGTAATAGAGATGTGTGTAACGCACGTGCACAACCCATTCAGTTCTCTTTTTCTACTAGATGCAAATACTGGGAAGACCTGCTTAATGAAAGCCCTGTTGAACTTAAAAAATGGAAAGAATGACACAATCCCACGTTTGCTGGAAATAGATCAAAATACACACAATCCCAGGCCACTTGTCAATGTGGCATGCTCTGACTGTTACTACAGAGGTAAGGGTTCTGTTCTCGTGCCGTATCAGAGCACCTTTTTCGTTACCTGGGTAAGGGGTGCAGATACAAGGAAAAAGAACTGGAGCTTATGCAGCACTGCAGTTCCAGAATTCTGGTGCAGTTACACTAACAGCCCACTCACCTTATATTTCTGATTCTGGTACTGCATCTTCTTCAGCTTTGAATTACACACTTCTGTAACTTCTTTTTTGGTCTATAAAATGAATGATGCATGCTTAATAACCCGAGAATATGAGAGGATATGCTTGGGAAAGTTTAAAAAGCGTGTCTAAAGGGAAAAAAGAAATAGTATATCACTATTAAAGTATGAGTTTTGCTGTTTGGGCTATTCTTGTAATAGCAGACATGCAGCGTAGTTATGTACATGTATGATTGTCTTTATCTTTTCATGGCTGCTTGGGATTTTAGTGCCAGGCAGGGGCAGTTGTCTGGTCTTGTGCTGAATTTATGACAGTCTTGAGGGTTGTCTTCTGACTCAGTGTTTGCAATGTTCTTTTCCAATGAATGCTGTTGAAAGTCATCAATTGGCACCCACCCCCTGCCCAGCACTGAGGCTGTAGGATTGCTGTGCAGAGCACAGTGATTGTTGAAATAGTGCTTTGCTGAAGATTCCTTTGCCTGTTCCCTCTTATAGTGGCACTGACTGGTGAGTTTTGCCTGTTTCTTTAGGTCAGACAGCACTCCATATTGCCATAGAGAAAAGGAGCCTAGATTTAGTGAAGCTTCTAGTAGAGAATGGAGCTGATGTCCATGCCAGAGCCCACGGTGAATTCTTCAAGAAAAAGAAAGAAGGAGTTTACTTTTATTTTGGTGAGTCACTGTGGAACATGTCCCTTTGCTTTTTATATTGCCTTACTGTATGCAATGTCACTAATTCTCACTTGGCTTTGCCCCTCTATGCATGGGTTGGCATCTCCACTGTCCCGTATTCAAGGTCTTGACTTGAATGGCAGGATCCTTTCACAGACTGAGGTGTCCAATGAGCATTTGGCATCATCTTTGGTTTTGTGTGTTTTAATCCCATCTGAGGAGCCTCAGACAGAAACCAGCTCTTGGTTAGTTTAACCAAATTAGGGGTCTGGGAAAGTGCTTCAGCTGCCCCCAGAAATAAGGAGTAATTTACTGCAAAACCCTTTCTGAATCTAGAGACACTGAGGAAGAACTTGTTCTGTGTTCCAGTGGTAAATCTACAGACTATATATATTTTCCTGGAATTGCTTTTATTTTTCTTTAATTCTTTTTCACCTGTTTCTGCTTCCCATTCAAATACTGTCTTCATCTCTTCAGGTGAACTTCCCCTGTCCTTGGCTGCTTGTACCAACCAGCCTGAGGTTGTGGCATATCTTCTAAACAATCCCCACCAGAAAGCCAGGCTCCAGGAGCAGGACACGCAGGGCAACACAGTCCTCCATGCCCTGGTGATGATTGCAGATGACACTGAGGAGAACACCAAGTTTGTGAGCACAACGTACGTTGAGATCTTGAAGGCAGGTGTGAAGATTGACCCAATGTCGAAGCTGGAGGAGATTGTGAATTATGATGGATTAAATCCTCTGCAGCTTGCTGCCAAGACAGGCAAAGTGGAGGTAAAGACAGAGGGGAACCCTGGGGTGGCTGAGAAACAAGGAAAACTGTAGTATACTTCCTCAGCTTAGGGTTTGATGTAGGAGCATCTTGCACCCAACCTGTAGTATGCTGATGACAGTGGCAGTGCCACAGGAGACAATAAAGGAGGCTTCCTCCTGGCTACTGCACTTAATGTCCTACAGAGTCTGAGCTGGCTGCTGCTGCTCTCTGTCCCAGTGGAGACAGCTGGTCTGGACTGAAATTGGTTCTACTTCTGGAGGAGTTGATACAAGGGGTAGTTAGATGAATGCCTGCTTTTAGCTTGATAATCTGGTTTTGGGTATATCAAAGCATATGCTGCAGAAAGCCAGGTGTCATGTATTTTGAAGGTGATTCGGGTATTCTTGTGTCATTCTACACCTTCATTGCATACATATATATGCATCTGGTTTCTCTATAGATCTTCAAACACATTATCCAAAGAGAGATCAAAGACCCAGTGTACAGGCACTTGTCACGCAAGTTCACTGAATGGACCTACGGGCCTATCCATGTGTGTCTCTATGACTTGTCCTCTATAGACAGCTTCGAGGAGAACTCTGTGCTAGAGATTCTGGCATACAGCAGTGACACACCGGTGAGTCCTTTGACTGAAAGGCAGCAAAATCTTTTCTGCCTTTCTATAGTGTTGCTGTTGTATTATGCAAATCATTTCAAGTTAATGTGGTGTTTTACATGGTCGTTTTTCTGGAAAAGACATACATGCTGCAAGTATTGGCACATTTTATTATTTATAGTCTGCCTGGTATACCTCTGGTCATCTATAATATGAGAGAAATTCTTGAGCCTTTGGTTGTCGTAAGCCTGGATGTGTCCAAATACCTTGATAAAGCCGAGCAAAAGTAACTTCTTACGGGGTGGTTGATTTCTTTCGTACTGAAAGGCTTGACTGAATAAACCCTTAGCAATTCCCTAGTTGGAGCCACTGACCTCTAAACCAGAAAAAGACAATCCTCTGGTGAATTTGCATTCCTGTTGACACATGAGTACATTTTTGTTTATTTTTCCATAGAATCGGTACAAGATGGTGGTTTTGGAGCCACTGAACAAACTGCTTCAGCAAAAATGGGAAACATTTGCTTCCAAGAGATTCTACTTCAGTTTTGTCTCATACTTGTCATTCATGATCATCTTCACAGCCATTGCGTACTACCAACCCCTACGGGTAAAGGTAGGTCCAATCTTCTTTTATCTAGAAAGGCCTGGTTGGATGAGTTTAAAAGGTGCTGGGTGGTTATCATCACTACCTCTGCCTTCTTCAGTGGGTTTTTGTTTTGTTTTTATCCTGCAGCCTTCCTTTCCAGTGGAATTCACGGCTGGAGGCTTCCTGTGGGTCTCTGGACTCATCATTATCTTGCTAGGAGGCATTTATCTAATCTTTGCTCAGGTATGGGGGTCTTGTGTTTAGTTCCATTGTAAGAAAGGAAAAAAAAGAAACTGTCGCTGACATGAAGGCAACAGACTCAGTTCTCCTGATATGAGGGTGTGCATGAGTGGATGGCAGGAGGGAATCCTGCTCCAAGACACAGTGTCAGTGCAATCTAGTAGTGACAGGGGTGGCACAAGCCAGGTTTCTGGGCAAGAGAAGAATAAGTTCACAATAGCAAATAATTATGAGAGACTTCTGTGATTTATAGTACTAAAATTCATCCTTGGCATTTAGTGCAGTCTATTAATAAAGACATTGGGCTGAGCCATGATTCAGCCCTTGTTTATCCATACGCTTTATAAAGAAGGCCTTTCATCTTGGAAGGATGAATAGGTGAAATTTGGGATTTTGAAAATGAAAGCATGAAGAGGAGCTTGTGGAACAAACCTTGCCCCTGAGCAATAGGCTATGCTGGGCAGGAATCAGTCTCTAGCATGCCCTGTTTTTTGATGAATGGCTACCATTGATTTTTCTCTGCTAGAGTCTGTACTTGCGGAGGAGACGCCAGTCCCTGAAGACTATGTGTTCTGACAGCTGCATTGAGATCTTGATGTATGTCTCTTGAGGTTTTTTGCACAGTGAAAGCATGGGTGAAATTGGTGCTCTGCTGTGTGCAGCTAAGTTGCCTTAACATTTCTAGAGAGATGGTGAGCCCTTCCCTGCTTGCTTCTACTTGCAGCATCTTGTCATAACCTTTTGTTGTAATGGACTTTGCTGGGTATGCTCTGTCCTTAGATTTGTAGTGGAACACAGTGAAGGTCAGACCCTCAATTATTCCACAAATAAGAACATACACTTCTTAGACAAAGAGCTGAAGTTCTCTATCATACTGTCACTGTGGCTCAGAGTTGACTGAAAGGAAAAAAACTCCTCAGTTTTCTGAGGAGAAATGTGTGTAGATGCATGTGTGTGCATGTATGTGTGCATGTGTTCATAAGCGTTATATTTTTTTCCACTTAATATCAGTTATATGAGTTACATTAAGCAGTTCAGAGTTTCCATACTGCGAGATTAACCAGTTCATAACAAAACTGCAGCAGCTTGTGGGTTGGGTTATAACAGGATTTGCTTATATAAACTATGTGTCTGATTAACTGCCACTTTATATGTTCCATGTAGCCTTGTAAAATGTGTTTGCTTTTCCTTTCAAAACAGATCTGCAAATGGGCCTTTTTGTTGAAGTAAGTCACTGTGTCACTCATTCTATTTCTCTCCAGCTTCATCCAGGCCTTCTCATTGCTGCTCTCAGCAGTCCTTTATGGTGCAAGTTCAGAAAACTATGTGGCAGTGATGGTGTTCTCCCTGCTTCTGGGATGGGTGAACATGCTGTATTACACTCGGGGCTTTCAGCGCACTGGCATCTACAGTGTCATGATCCAGAAGGTCAGTACTCAGTAAAAAGCTTTGTATGAAAAGCTTTTGGGTGTGAGCAACTAATAGAAGTCCTGCAATCACTTTTTCTCTCAGGACCATGAAAATCATAAATGGGATTAATATACTGACTGTGGAAGTAAAGATGTTGCACAAGGAGATTAGATCAATGTCTTCAAGGAAGTACATTTTCAGCAAACTGTTAATTTGCTATCTTTGAATTTAGGAAGTGGCAGCAGCTGACATTTCCCTGTTTGCCATAAGACAACTCAAAACTAGCAGTCAAAACTAGTGCAAGTTGCTTGGAATGGGCTGGGCTGAGAAATGTTTCCAGGTCCATAGAGGAGAAGAGGACTAGAAAGACAAGACAAAGCAGAGGTGAAATGCGGTACCAGGGAAGAATTCTGATCACCACTTGTGTGAAACACCATGGGGATGGAAAAAGATGTGTGTGTTAAAACAATTCAGAAGCAGCCATACTGGGGAACTGACATATTTGTTATGTTTGTGTGAATAGGTTCTTAGAAACAACAAATAAGTTCATGTAGTACAGTCAGATTAAGCTACCAATGATGTTACTTACTTGAGGAAGTAATACGTATTAGTAGTTTCTTAAACATATTGTTACTGGGGGTTGGTTTATGATGTGTGAGAGCAGGAGATCATCCATGGGATTTCATGTGAGATAAAGAATGGTGCTTCCTCCTGATTTGTGTTTCAGACTATTCTGAGAGATCTGCTGCGTTTCCTCTTGGTTTATATGATCTTCCTCTTTGGCTTTGCTGCAGGTGAGGACTTGCTCAGTGTTATGTAGTCTGGGCTGCAATAAATACACTTTTATAAAGAGGTTTCTAATCCTGTTTTTCTCCTAGCTCTGGTTACACTGATGGGGGATGCTCCTTCGGTCTCTCAGAACAAATCTCTTGCTCATTTGGAGAGCACTGGGAACCATGCTATGTATGGTGGGCTGCTTAGTGTCTCCCTGGAGCTCTTCAAGATCACCATTGGGATGGGAGACCTGGATTTTCAGGAACATGCCAGATTCAGATACTTTGTCATGCTCCTGCTGCTTCTTTTTGTGATCATCACTTACGTTCTTCTGCTCAACATGCTGATTGCTCTCATGAGTGAGACTGTCACAGATATTTCTAGTTACAGCAAAAGCGTCTGGAAGCTGCAGGTGAGGCATGGTGCTGCTTAGCAGTTATGTCATGGCCTAGACTCCTACTTGAGTCTCATAACATCAGAGGTGACTGTGCCTGTCTTTGTCCTAAGCCTCAGCTATGAACTAAATCCTGTCATTTTCAGATGTATTTAAAACTCTTGCTTTTTGGTTGGCTACCAGCCAGGCCAGATCCACATGCATAAAAAACTTGAGAGAGTGACTGGCACTATTAATCTAAGGACACTTTGGGATTGGGTTCCAAAGTGATTTTCTGAGTCAAACTAATTGCTGATTGGGAAAGATTAAATCGAAAAGTGGGGTTGGGCTCTGTATGATCTGTTTTCTCTCTGACATGAACCTCTTCTTTCAGAGGGCTATTGCTATTCTAGAGATAGAGAAGGCCTGGCTGTGGCGCCAAGGTGGGAAAAGGAGATCTGGCTGCTTCATGTCAGTGGGCCTCAATAAGAAAGATGAAAGGTGGTGCTTCAGGTAAGACAGATGACCATTAGAGCCTTGTAACAGGTTCTCATGATTCATAAGCCATGAATAACCCTGAACCACCACAGGGAATTTCAGCAGTGATTCAACAGAGTGCCTCAACCACATGTTCCTGGGTACACACAATTTGGTTGGTGGAAGTTCGAGAGCCAGTTGAACCACCAACCTATGCTGTCACCCAAAGATGTCTTGTTTAACCCACACCCGTGCAAACATTTCTGGTGGCAGAGTGTTGCAATGATGCTTTCTTTGTTGCTGTGAGTATAGCTGTAGAGCAGGGTGTGGTGAGAGGGATGCAGGCTGGTTGCCCCTTCACTCAGGAACATGCAATTGGAGTGCAACAGGAGAGGGCAGCACTCTTCCTCACATAGAGGGGCTAGGAGAGCAGATGAACTTTCTCCACCCAGTGAAAAGAATTGCAGGCAGCACTTCAGTAACTTCAGTGTGTTACAGAGCATGTATAGAAAGTGGAACCTTGGAGCATCCTTTGTATTAAGCATGTTCCATGTGAGGAACTGGAGTATTTTAAACCAAACAAACCAGCACACAGTGTGCACGGGGAGAACATACTGACCTCGTGGACTTAGACTACAGAAGACTTTTACTCAAAGAAAAGCTCTGTAGGGCATTGTTGTTACAGCTAAACCATTAGGATTGTGTTGCCAGGATGAGCTGGGTTCGAATGCTGTGGGACAATGAGATCTGGGTTGAAATGCTGTGTTCCATGTATAAGTTTCTGTTGTATTTTGTCTCTCCAGAGTAGAGGAAATTAAATGGACTGATTGGGCAAAGGATGTGGGAGTTCTTAAGGAAGACCCTGGCAACACCAATGATTCAGAAATAAACCCAGAAGGTAAAATAAATAATGAAGAAAGATCTTCCGTATCTTTTTAGCTTCCTGTGCTGAGCATGGCATGGCATGTTATTAAGTCTTTGGTAACACAAACTTCAGGCTTGCTCATGAAATTGCTTCCACACAGCATCCCTCAGTAGCAGCAGCATCATCACTTGTGAGCTGAGAAAATAAAGAATTAGAGTAGGTATGCACCTAGTCAGAGTTTGGGAACAAATAATGAGGATGAAGGAGATGCCATTCCTCCTTACCTCTGATAGAAATGGGCACGAAATGCTGCTGAGAAAAGCGAGGGTTGTTCTTGCCTTTCACTCAGTAGCCTAAATAGATGATGCTTTCTCTAAGAAAGGTAAAATTTAGGCCCATTCCTAGTGCAAATGTTAAAAACTATAGGGCTTTTAGAGCACAGATCAGGGCATTACTACTGGCAACTTTGGCAAATTCTGCCAAAGATAATTAAGTTTCTGTCCTTTGTTAAGCCTGGGAAGCAGCTCTGTGTGGGACATGATGAGCTGTTACTCTCTAGAAACTTTCTTCAGCGTGGCAGAGAGCTTGGTCAGAAGCTCCACTGGATTGAAATACAGCCTCCTATTCTTCCAGCATAGGTTCTGCCTAGATGCCAGCTTTCTAGGACTGGGGATGTTGCAACACTTAAAATACTATCTCATGTATGTTGGGATTTCCCTAAACCTGCACCCTTCTAAAAACTGGATCCCTTTGTCAGCCTCCTGCTGACAAAGGGCTGCTGTTTTTATGTCTCCTGCTATAGAGACAAGATCATGGAAACGGACGCCACAGAAACAGCTGAGACCAGGTGGTTCAGAGGAGCAGTCACTATTGCAGCCCCAGATGTCAGCAACTGAGATGATGCCTCTAGAGGGACAAACCAGGAATCCTTAGGAGGTTTTCTGGATTGCAAACTTGCTTCCACCCTCAAAGGAGCAGTTCTTCCTCTGGCACCTGGAAAAATTAAAGACATTGTCAGTATTAAAGTGCATTTAATTGAAGACTGTGGTTCAGCCTGTGGCTTTAAGTATTTTCATGCACTTTAATCATTAATTTCCTCTGAAGATAGTATTTTTACTCAACGTTCTTTGCCTGGCACTTTCTTATTACTATGTCTAATGGTGCAAGAGCAAGATCACAGGGCAGTGGGAGTGGTCTGTGGGAGGCAGCCCTTTCTGAGCTGTATAGACATAATGCTGCTTGCCACAGAGAAGCAGAGGATGAAGTGACTGAACTAAGAACGGGTCAACTGTTATTCTTTTGTCACAAGAGACTGCCCTGAAGTGCTTTGGAATAAAGACTGTTGTAGAGTCATAAAAAGTTGCTAAGGATGGGATTAGCTTCTGTGCAGAACACTGTCGATATGAGACATGAGTGGACAAATACTCTTCAATCATCAAAAAGCTCTACTGAGTCTTTGTGTCAGTGCCTGCAGTGCTCAGTGTGTAGCCCATATCAGAGCTCCCATTTTACAGTACTATAATGAAGTTGTTTGCACGATGTGCACACTTGCTTAAGAGCACAATAGTGATGTGGATTTCCTGAGCCTGTAACTTCACATGGGGAATTTCTGAAATATCTGTCTTACACAGGTTGCTTTGTGTCTGTAGAAAACAGCAGCAGAATCCTGCACATGGCTTCTGAGAGACAGATAGCCCACAATGCTTCATGTGGTTAACGTTTTCTGTCAGTCTTAGTGAGCATCCTGTCTTGCTGTAAATGATTACAAGGACTTCATTGCTTTTTGTAATGTGCACACTGCCTCAGGCAGGATGAGCAGTGTAATTTGGACTCTGTGAAAGAGGTAAAAATGAGCAGTCTCACTTTCAGCCTTTATTTAAAAATAATAACATGAGTATTCCTGTAAAGTGTCAATATAGCAAGTGTACTTCATTTAAAATGTTCATCTTTGAGCATACTTTCAGAGCTTCAGCCTCTCTCAGAAAGGAAGAGATGTGACTATAAGGCCTTATAAAATTCCTAACGCCATGTCACCCAGAACTGTGCTGAACACACTGCCACACGAGATAGTGACTTTTTTCAGGACTTTATGTCAGTTTACACAGCCACATCTGTAAATGTCACAGCTGATGTTGCATTGGATGCACCTTTCATACAGGCAATGGCTCATGATAACCCTGGAAAAGCTGCAGGCTACAAATGTTGGCAAAACCTTTCCTTCAGTAAGATAAACTACACAACTGTAGATCTCCTGTCCTTCATTTCTACTCTGAGCAAGTGAAGCTAGGAGGTTTGTCTTTTGGAGGCATTCATCTTAATCCCGTTGCTTACTACTTGCATGTGACTGGCAGCAAAAGCATTGCTTTAAAAACTTATTTCCTGTCACTTCAAATGGATACTTTCCCTGTGCTGGGCAATTCCCTTTGCAGCTTCACTGCATTGGGTCTCTGAACTGTAACTAACTTTTCTCACTCCAGCTTCTGCTGTCTTGCTTTGTGAAGCCTTCAGCAGCTTTTTCCATCTATGGCTTTGTCCTAAATGTTCCCAAGATTTGGCAAGGTGCTCATATTGCACAAAAGGATCATCTGGCATATAGTGATCTATTGCTGTGCTTAATGCTGTGCTGTGCAAGGGACACTTTGAGATTCTCAACGAACGCAGAATCAGATCTGCCTGGAGTCTTAATAAAGAGAAGTCTTGCTTACTGGCAATGGTTTTGATAGCTATGAGCTGTGACAGCTTGCTTTCAAGATAACCTGCCTCTTCAGCCATTCCTTGAGACTGCTTCTCCAAATCCTTTTCTTAAGGGATTTAAAATGTTAGTTTATCTTTAGCTCTGCATCAAAAATGTTCTTAAACATCTGGTGTCTGCTCTGAAACAGGGCCCTAGCATTCCTTGTGCTTCACAGTCACACCACTGACCACCAGTCTTATCCCTCTCAAGCTCATGATGATGGACACCAGATAGGCACATGCAGCAAACAGGTAGATCAGGTTGGTCAGAAGATCTAGCAGTGCCCAGGCTGCCATACAGTTCTTGATGTGCTGTGGAAAAAAAAGGAGATTTTTGAGGAGTTACAACCTCTCTGCAGTGAGAAGTGAGTTAGCCTTATTGAGATTAATATCAATAACCTCCCAGCTTTCTTTAATGCACAAGGCTCCTCTTTGGTTTCACCTTCTGAGCCACTTCCCATTTTGGTCACGTTAAAAACAGGAAGGCTGTCTGGGGTTTATTTTGAGGGATATCTGCAGTTCCTTGCAAGAGGAAGACTTACAAGCTGACTCATAGCTTTGAAGGCCCAACAGAATTTTGGGATGCATTCTTAATAGGTCATAATGTTTTGCAAGAAAACAGTCATTTACACAAGAAATTATCAATAGGTGAACTGTTCCCTCCCTTCTATCTCTTGTGACAGGTAAACCCACCTGCATGTGAACCCATCCCTTTGCAAATGGGGAGGCTTTGCAGGGCTGTCTTCTGAGAAAACAGAAACCTTTCATAAACATCAGTGAAGGAATAGCTGCAGTTTCTCTTCTCTGACTGCTTAGGATGTATGAGCCATGGAGACCCTGAAGTCCCAGCCATGCTATGAAGAAGTCACCAGCAGTTCTCATGACTTTTCATGCAGGGCTATGGATGCTCAAACCCTCTCCTAATTAATTTGGTCAAAGTTGCTTGGCTCCTGCCAGGGTTGGGAGATGAATCCAGATCTTGTTGCTTCCAAATTCCTCCTCCTCTACTTGAGCACACTTTGTGTGGTCATTGCTCTCTATGGCCTCACTACTAAGCTCCAAATACTTCCCAATGCAGTGATCTGTCTCGCTGCTTCACGTCTGGTTTGTATGGTTCCCAATTCCCTATAAAGCCATTTTCCTCAGGGCTATAGGTGGAAGCAAGACTTTCTTGTTCCTCAAATGCTTTGTACATTTTGTTTTATGGTTGTTTTTTCCCTCTGCTTTTTTCAAAGCATGCTCTGAAGCTGAAGCCAGTATGGGGAGCTATATCTGTGCCTCAGTTGAATCCTGTCTTTTCATCTCTTCATGACCCCACTTGCAAATGAGCATACTTTCCGTTGCCTCTGTAGCTAGCAAAAGAAGTCTTTGAAATGTGACAAGCGAAAAGGCTCAGACAAAGAGCAGATGCTTTATGTAAGTCTGCATAAGCTGCAAAGAGCTATTTCTGAAGCGATGCAGCTGGCACATTTCTCAGCTGGAGTGTTCCTGTGGCTAGCTATCAGCTTTTTACTTCTTTGCTCTGTTTAAGAACTTTAATTTGTTAAATGACTTAAAAGAAAATAAAATAGGGGAAAAAAGAAAAAAAAGGCATTTCAAAAGAAAACTGTTCCACTTCACAACCTCACATCTGCTTCAGCAGCGTGAATAAAAGTGGGGCCAGACAGGACTTGGTAAAGCTTCAGGAAAGCAAGTGCACGTGCTTCACAGCTGGCACCTAACTGTTACCAAAATCTGAGTGCAAAGAGCACTTGCTTTCAGTTCAGATCCATGAGATGTGGAGTGCTACAGCATTTATGGACTGTGAGAGTGTTGGTCAAATGTTGTTAAACACAGGGAGTCCTTGGAGAAAGAGAGATGGAGGTAGCTAGAAAGTGTCTGTATGATTTGTTGCACTCTTTTCTGAGAATGTTTGGGAAATTTACAGTTTCTGGGCAAAGAGATCTGTCTCTGAAATGGCTTTCTCCTTCCCCGCCCCTAAAGGATTTGCCATGCAGTTAGTTGATTCTTCTGATTCCTCAGCATTTGCTACTTCAGCTCGTTTAGCACGTGTAATAACAACACACTGCATCTGAGTAATACTTGTTACACAGAGCTCTGATAGTAGAAACTATGTGGGAGTAATTCTGTGTGAGTCTGGTCGAGCTGAGGGTGAGCAGTACAGAGAACCAAGGGCTCAGCAGAAAACAAAGAGTTGTTGGTAGAGGGGAGAAGAGACGTGCAGAATCCCTTGAAGTACCCTGGGCATCCTGCCATAAAATGTCAAAGCCATAAAATGACACCAACAATGTACAAAATAAAAGGGAAACACCTTGTGCTCTGCGTGTGTGTGTGCATGGGGGGATCTCTTGCATTAAAAAATTTCTATGAAGGGCATTTGAGAGCTGACATCTCTCTTAAATCCCTGCTATGAGTTCACGTGAGACAATTTGCACATTGCGGTGTGATGCAGCACATCTGTGCAGCAGGCACCAAAGGACAAGGTGGCCAGTACAAACATAGACCCTCACAGCCTTTCCTGACAGATGCTATGTATTCTAGAAGTATTGATGGACAGAAATGGAGCCACTGCTAAAAATGGCCTTTCAGGAACATAAGTTTACCTTTCAGCAGGTCTTTGCATCTGAAGTTTTATTACAGTGTCACTGGTGTACGCCTTGAAACCTCAGTTAGGAAATCCACAATAGAGTCACTTTTTCTCAGCGAGACATGCAGATCTGGAGAAGCATCAGAGGAAGAGAGCAGCCTTTGCCTGGTATCTCCACTCCTTCCTTCACCTTAAAGCTGGGAACGATGAGGTTGCTCCTATATCTACTCTTCCTAATGAGTGAGTTTTATCTCTGTATTTATTTTATATATTAGGAAATGAAAGTCTTAGTCTGGAAATAATTTCTGGAGACTCAGATTGGTCCCTTAAAGTGAGCCAATGAAATTATTCTTATGTAGAAAGTTCAGGATGTTTGAACTTGTGTGGAAGGTCCTTAGTTTGCAATGTGGTTTTCTACAATTCATACTTTTGAGTGGAGAGGGTTTTATGTGTCATCTTTAGTGGGAGAAAAGTGGCTGGTAGGTTAGAATAGAAGGTAGGTGACATTTCTTAATATTCTTTCCTTTCTATTATAATTTTAGATACATCCTGGATTAAGCAGGTTTTGGGTTGTTGTTCTCCTTAACAAGATCTCTAGAACATGTAGGGTTTTCTGAAAGAAAATGTAGAGACTTTTGCTTGGGAATAAGTTTATGTAAAGTAAAGCATAGGTATGAATTAGAGGGAACATTTCCTGAGTCAGAGCCTGTATCCACATCATTGTGTCCCATAGCCTTGTGGGGACCCTTCTGCTGTGGATTAGTCTTTAGTTACTTACCCCAGAAAGGCCAACACCCTTACACCGCTACTCCATTACCTCAAGCAATGGACAACAGCACTGGGGATGCTGCTGGCCACTCTTCCAGCCGCTCCACAAAGAAATATTGGTTTGATTCTATGATAAAGTTTCTGTTTGCCTGTTGCCCTTTTCAAAAGACTCAATACCTACTCTATACCTACTCCACCTGTATGGAAAGAATATTATCCTTTAAGTATTAATTCTGTGCCCTGACCACCTCACAGACTTCATGACAAGCTTGAGTCTTCTAGTTTGGGGAAAAAATTGTTATTAATTTTATTCTTTTAATGAGATGCCCATCACAGTTCTCTGTAGCTTGCTTTGCTGTGATTTTAGATTTAACATCAAGATTTATGCTCTTCTGTTTTCATTATTTGGGCTTGTCTTCTCCATGTTGTATGATGATGATGTTGTATGATTTCTGCTAATGTCCTTGTTCTCCTGTTTGTTATTAGGGGAAGTAACTCCTAGCTTTGTAAATACATAAATCCTTAATGGATATACCTGGAGAAGTTACTGGTGCTTTTTCAAATCTGGATGTTTCTTCATTTGGTTTTTGCAAAATTAAGTTGGGATCATTGCTGGAGATTTTTGTCCTTGTGAGCTTCTGCAGATCTTTAATATTGCTCTTCTCTAGCAACCTATTTTGTTTTGGTTTTTTTTTGCATTTGTGGGTTTTACCAATGAAAACAGCAGAGCAGAAAGAGGTAGTTGGTGGGTCTCGGTTATGTTCTCAGAATGACTCTAGTAGACCTGTGCTGAGCATCTAAACTCCATAGATAATTTGTCTGTATAGCTGGCTAATTGGCAGCATGCCTTTCTTTTTTTTTCTTAGTTTAAGTCCAGTGCACTTAATTTCAATGAGTAAAGTGCTAAAACCCTCTTGGTCATCTGTATTGGAAACCCCAGTGAGCAGGGAGTTGGAGTGAAAAGCTCAGGTAACTCAGCTTCGCAGGATGGCGGCAGCAGAGCTGATGCAGAGTTGAGCAGCCTCTGGTTTCCAGGCCAAACACCACACAATTGCAATACAGGGATATTCCCAACAGTAAGGTCAGCTCCCTGGCCATCGGTTCTTTTTGTTGCCTGCTTGAGAATTGCCCCTTATATCAAAGACAGTTGAACCTTTCAGGTTGCTTGTTAGTTGTATCCAGAATTCTGGTTTTGTTTTAAAGGAGGTTTGCTGGAAGCCTGTGTAAATGTGTGGTATTGTTGGGATGATTCTCTTCCAGTGGAAACACACGCTGGAAAATCTCAGGGTTAATTTAAGCTTTCTGACTGGTGAAGTGGGATTTGCAAAACAAGGTGGGAGTCCAGGATGGTCTGTCTGTGCTCTGAAAGGGGTGCCTGAAGTATAGGACATGTCAGGAAGCAGAAGCAAAGACTATCAGTTCAGAGTATTTGCATGTTTAATGTCATTGCTCCAATTGTGGTACTTCTTCTTTCACCTGTGCTTTCGGAGCCAGGCTGGGAAATGACATGGAGTTGATTCTGAGTGAAATTAGAATCAGGAAAGACTCTAGATGGACACAAGGACAGAATTTGACCTCTTGTTAGTACATCAGGGATTAAACTCAGAATGCGGTACTGCATGTTTAAATGCAGGCTCAACCTACAGCTTCTGCAGTCAGAGTCCGGGCATCCAGAGCAAGGATTTTAGGCTGCAGTCATCTGTAAAATTCAGGCTGTGTACTTTAGTTCTGGCTTCAAACAGGAACAGAGCATGATTGGAGTCGCTTGGGCTTGTTCCTGAGATTAATGTGAAGTTCTCAAAGTTGTCATGTGATTGACAAGAGGTTTGGTGATACAGCATGGATCAGTGCTTGAATTTACAGAACTCACCATAGTAGCTTGCTTTCCCTGCATCCTATTGTGTGACATTTTCAGTCCATCACCCAGATTTAGGTATATTTCTCTCCCCAGCCTGTGCGTTTACTGGTGTTGACACACTTAGAGAAATCAAGGGCAGAGGTGTGAGCAGCAGTGAACAACTGCACAAGCCCTGGGGTTTTGTTTCCTCGCAGGAGGAAAACCCAGGTTTGTGAGCTTCAGCTAGTCCGAATGTTCTGTGATGTCCAAGATGGACTTCCATCACAGAACAGCAGGACTGGCATTATCTTATTTTTCAGTAGGCTGGGACAGAAAATGCTTCGTTAATCTAAATCAATGAGATTTCCATAGCTTGGCATCTCCCTCTGCCAACTGCCTCTGCTGCCCTGGTGGGCAGGGTTCAGGGAGAGCAGGCTCAGGAGCCTGTTAACTGTGTCTCTGCAGATCACAGTATGCGCTCATTCATTTCTTTGTTTTCAGTGGTCAAGTCCTTGAGGAGCTTTAATGTTGACACTGGCAAGACATGGATCACACCACACACAGCCTCTTTGTTGTGGCCCTCTGTTCTTCAGCACTGGGATGGAAACACGGCCATGTAAGGAACAGAATAAAGAAAAACACACCCACATTTCCCATGTCTTTATGAATGAGTGTGGCCTCAGGTCACGTAGCTTCTCTCTTTCTACAGCTGTTAGCACAGGTTGCTCTGCCTGGGACCCAGAATTGTTTCATAGTTCTCAGGGGCTGATGAGTGGTGTTAAGAGCTTCACTGGTGTGAAGTGTACACTTATCCCCTCACCCACACCTAAGTTGTGGCTCTGTTCAGAAAGGATGTCTGCTTATTTAACCAAGTGGCAGAAACATGCAGCTGGGTTTTTGCAAGACTTCCTGGCATGTTGCGTCATTGCTGGGACTGCAGCAACCAGAGCACCCACCAGCAATCAAGAGTTATGTTGTGAGATTGGTCGGAAGGCCATAAAGCCTTGGAAACTGCTGTATTTTAAACTATTTGGTCTGTAGAGGAAGCGAAATGCATGACTAGGTCAGTGAGCAGAAGCCAACCACAAGTGGTTCCTGTAGAGATAACCTATATTATGCTGAGCAGATTGCTCAGGCTGTGTAGCAGGCAGCGTATTTTAAATTTCAGAGCAAATAAACTTGTCTAGCCCCTGAGCAGAAATTGGCTGACTTAAAGAGCAGTCCCCATTTCATACAGCAGTGCTGCCATTTCCTACATGGTGGGTGGACTTTCTTGCTGCACTTCAGGCCTCCATTTATCTCCAGTATTCTACGGGCAAGTCCCTTCCAGACCTCTTCCTTGATCTGGGATAGCTCTCCTGAATTCAGATAATGTTCAGATAATGGGAAGGATGATGATTTGTAGGAGAAAATAAGTGTTTTCATGTTAATGCCTGATTCAGCTCAAATCTGCTGCCTTCCCTCTTTTCCACTTTTTATTCTCATTCACAGGATTTTGGCTACTTCCTCAGTAGACAAGGGGCTGGGCAGGCTGAGGAAGTGCACCATTTTGCAGGAGGAGATCCAGTGCCAGGAGATACCTCTGCGAGGTACAGTCCTGCTTCCCCTTCCCAATACTTGCTTTGCCATAGGGAGGTGCACAGGCTGGGTGCTCCAGAGAGAACTGGGCACACTGCTAAGTAATGTAGGCCACAGCTTAAATCCTCACCTAAATTCTGTTGAAATACAAGGCAACATTTCTTGTTTCCAGGACATACATTACTGTCACAGTTGCTGAAAACATTAACCCTGAGTCCTTCTAGGACAGCAGATACAGCTGACCTCAGTAGTTGTAGCCTTTCTCTGTGTTTATTCTATTTGCCCGAGGCTGACAAGTACTGTATCCATTTCAATTCTGTTCTTTATTCATTCAATCATTCATTCAATTTCAGGAAATATTAAAGGCTCCAAAAACGTCCAGGATGGCGGCATAGCTATTGACAGGAATTCAGATTGGATCCTGGTAAGGGAATGAAAATATCTTTGGCTGAGAACAGCTGTATTTTTCCAAAATGCTGTGTATTTTTGCTGGGAAATGCAAATGAACAAAATGAGCAGACATTAACATAAGGACAAAGGCTAAAAGCTCTTGGTTGGATGCTGGCTGGTTAGAAAACCAGATGGTGCATTGCCAGCCAGGATGGAAAACTGAGAAGGGCCCTTCTCATTAGCTGAGGGCTGCAAAGGACCTTATACTTAACTGCAGCCACCCCCACTCATAGGAAAAGGGAGGATTGGTAGAGGAGGCTTAGGAGAGACACCAGTTTGGAGGCTAACGCCTCAGCCTGATTAGCCCTGAGCCCTGATCTTTGCCTCAGCTCAGGGCTGGATCCCTGGGTAACCTCATGTGGCAGGGGGCACTTCAGGGAAGGTGCTTTTTAACTCCCACTAGGCTTTCAATGCTGTGCAGGGGATGCTGAATATTTGTCATATGGCATCTTCAGTCATCCTCTGTCTACACCTTTGCTCCTCATTCATTAGTTTGTCCTGTTGCTCCACAGGCTTGCCTGCAGAAGAAGCACCACCGAGCCTTCACTACCACCGAGGACATGAATGGAGTCTGTACTCTGCTCACCACCGACCTGCACAGCACAGCCTTCCTCAACCTCACCAAGATGGGTATAGGAGCAAAGCCAGTGCTGTGCCTTTGCAGGGGGAGAAATAACAGCCTGAGGCTCTGTTCTAACAGCAGGGGCCTTCTGAGTTCCTAATGTACTGTCCACTGGGAGAGACCTAGTGCTGGATTTTAACATGTATTGTAGTGACTTCAACAGGGTTACAACGTTCAGCCTTGCAGATCAACACACAGCAGCAAGGAGCTCCTGTTGTGGTGTCCATGCATCTAAAAGATCCAGCTCTTAAGCCGGAATTTAGAAAAGCATTGACATTCTCAGTGGATGGATATGACAGACATCCACTGGGAATTTAAAAAGTGCCTGAGCATTAAAGATGGTTCATTCCAACTGAACTGGACATTTAATCAAGGAAGCAGAGAGCTGGTCTGATTGTCCAGCCTTGCTCTGCTTCTTGCTGTCACTGCAAAGAAGCTGAGAAGTTTCAATTAGACACCTAGATGGTGTCATTCCATATAACTGCTGTTAACAGTCTGACCCCCAGGTCTTTTGTGAGTCTGGGACCCTGGTGGAAATAGCTCTTGAGTTTAAGATGTGTTTATTAGAAGATGTGTTTATTAGAAGATAATTTTCAAAAGCTAGAGTGTGTTTTTTTTCTTGCTTTTTAAACTCTTTAGTTGAGACCAAATTAAAAGGCATTCAAAGTAGAACCAGCAACAAGAAGATTGCTGAAGGGAGCAGCTCTGTCAGCACAGACACCACCAGCAGTGCTTGTGGTGAGCTCTTTGGTAGCACACAAAACAGCTCTGTGTGCAAAGGTAAGTACTGGACAGGTACAAATATTACTTCCTTCTGTATTAGCTGAGTTTGAAGCAGCTTGCATGCATCTGGTGGGAGAGAGCTGGGGAGGGAAAAGATTGAGGTTTTGAAGTTCATCTGTAATGGTAAATGTCAATCATTGTTACAATCATCATTAACTGAGATTTTGAAAAATAAAACCTGTCACTACAGTGTAGACCATATCAGCTTGACCTGCTTTTAAAATGGCTGGATGGTGTAGTAGTCAAATTTTTGGTTATTTAACACTATGTAAATGTTCTTGAACCCTTGTTAAATGTTGGGCTGTTCACATACCCCTTCAAATGTCCTTTTATATTTAACTGCATTGACAGAAGTGGGAACAGAGATTGCTGTCATTCTGGCTGGATCAGAGAACACCAAGCCAGACGATTTCCAAAATGCCAAGACCTCTGTCCTCAATCTGATGAAGTCATTGTGGCAGAAATGCTCAAAGGTGCGTGAACCTCCTCAGGGTTTCATAATCTGGTAGACAGGATGCATCAGAGCTCTAGTGAAGAATGGAAAGTCTCCTAGATCATATAATTATTGCTTTTTAAACTTCACACTGATGCTGGTAATAATTCTACATATTCTAATGCAAGAGTTAAATGTTAGTGAGCCAAGGAGGAAGTGTAGCTAAAGAGGAAAGTGGAAGAGCTAGGAGTGGATTTTCATGCCAGAAGCATGCTTAGATATTTTACCAGGCAAATCTCTCAGGGCACCTTGAACCACGACATGCAAAAATAAGGAGTATGGTGTATAAGCTATTACTTTAAATGATTTAAATGAATCTGGGGACAAAGTGAGGCTGAGCCATATGCTCACAAAAGGTCTAGCCAGACAGATAAATACAGGAACTTCAGACAGAAATCACTGTGTTGAGCCAAAGGAAATAAAGTCAGTTCCTGGAGCTGATCCAAAAGGGTTCACCAGAATACAAATGTGTGATGGAGACAGAGGGGTAAAGACAATATACCTATTACTTGCAATATATGCTTTTTTTGTGTTTGTGCAGTAGAGTTTGAGACTAAATTTGGCATTTTGAGGGTCTTAGGGGTCCTGTCTTAGGTCTTGTCTAACCAGCTCTGGCACTGCCATCTGCTTTATCCAGATCAGGTTTGCTGTGGTGCAGGGTGGAGCACAGATCCAAACTGAACTGAGCCTGCAAGAGAGCTGCAACAGGCTAACTGCTTTCTTCAAAGTCAGGAACATCAAGCAGCAGAGCTCACAGACTGACATCGCAGCCACACTGCAGCATGTGTTGTGAGTTCACGTGTCCCAGGAAACTCCAGGAACACTCAAGTGATTCCTTGTTTCATGTGCATCAGTGCAGCCTCCCACATCTCCTCTCTACCCTTCTTTATCTCACACTCTCAAAACCTTCACTTTTCCAATGCTTCTCTTAGTGACAGGCTCTGCCAGCTGAGGCCTGTAAATGAGTAATTGCCAAGAGGCAAGGTGTGAAATCCTTTCTGGCTGACACAGGGGCTTCAGAATGAAAATTTAATCACTTGGGTCTTGTTTTAAGCGGGTGCTTTCCCATCTGCACTGCTCTGCTGCATCTCTGGGAGTCATGCTTTCCCTCTTGACTCCATTTTCCTCTCAGTGGCATGACTGTAACAATACTGACCCACACTGTAAAAATGCCCCATATGCTATTTGTGAAAGTGCTCGTGAAGTCAGAGCTACCTGCTGTGGACAGCCAATGTCCCCGGAAAGCATAAATCCTGGTGCATGTTTGCCTTGTGCATCTCTGCTCTTGTGGGCTGAGAGCTCAGTGAACATCAGCACCCTGATATCAACATTTCTAGCTCTGCAGAGATGACTTGTCCCATGAAATACCTCTTGGCTTCTTTTTCCACAGGAATAAAGTCTTTGAAAGCCATGACTTCAGCCAGACTGTTAACAAGATAATCATTGTCATGGCATCTGGGCAAGTGCTTCTGGAAAACCATAGGTTGGGAAATCTCATGAACTCCTTGGACATGGCTAGGGTCAAACTCTATGCTCCTGGGGTGAGTGGGAAGCACCATCAAAGTCATACTTCTTTTGCATCAAAGCAATATATAAGGGAGTGATGTTTCCATCCATCCCATGTGTCTGCTTTTATGGTTTAGCAGTGGGTGAAAGAAAAAGTAGCCATGCATTAGACTTGTAGGATGTCTAATCTGGCTCCTCCGTTTCACTCAAGCCTCCATCTTCTTGATGTCAGAGAGCTTATTTTGAAGGAGTTAAGGAATATATCCTAGAAACAGAAGTGCTTCAGTTGTGTATATCTTGTGGCTCTAGAGCTTTTATTATTGTTTTTTTCTTTGCAAATAAGGGCTTTCTATGGAATCTAGGATCAGGGTTGCTTTACCAAGCTTTCAGAAAATTCCCTCCTGTTAAGAGCTTTGAAGTTTTTAATGGCAATTTGGGAATTTGCTGGTTTTTTGGTCTGTGTATGAAATGTGTTCAATCTCCCTGTCTTCTCCCTAGATTGGAGAGTTCACAAGCAACCAGTGGGTCCCAGAAGAGCTGCAGAAAGTTAGAGGCGACAGGTTCATTCTGTCCACACATGAAGATTTTGACAGTTTCCTTTCAGAGCTGGAGAGAGAGACTCTGAGAGATTCAGGTAGAAGAAATCCCACTCCTGACACATCTATGTTCTCTGTAACTTACAGAGTGGCTATGTAATGGGGGGTAGTTTCATTACTCAAGGAATGTAAATTCATATACAGATCTTACCTGTTCTGGTAATCATTTGCCCAGCAACAGCAAGTTGCAGCATGTGATTTCTATTACACTACTAACAGTCTTCTTCAGACAGACAGGACAAGAGGATCATATTTGGCATCTGTGACCTGCAGCCATAACATCAGTACAGAGAGAGGTGCTTTACCATACATTCACTGCAGGCTCAGTGTTTCTGTTAAATTACTGGCCTTCTGGGTGTGCTCAGAGCAGTTTATTTCTGTTGAATTGTAGCTGCAGCTTTAAGATGCAGTCCTGGTCCCCACAGTCTTCGAAACTCCCAGGTATTTCCACTGTACCTGTAGTCTTGCACCTGAACACTTGATTTTGACTGAACACCAATATTGACTGCAGGGATGAGGAAGAGTTCAGCTGGCAAGCAGCAAGGAGCAGGAACACCACATAGGCAGTAATGCAAGGGTTTACTTCACCTTTTGCTTTCTCTCCCACCCTGTCATCTTTGTTCAAACTCGTTTCCTAATTCAGCTGAAAATACTCCAGCTGAAGCACCAGGGCACAGAAAACCTAATAACAGTGGGGACAGCAGGCTCCCGTCTTGGATGGAGGAGGACGAAGAGGAGGAGGAGGAAGATGGCTTGTGTACGTGGTGAAGTATTTTCTAACAGAATCGTGCCAGGGACTGCCATGGGCTGACAAAGTATGGGGGGTTGCTGTACCATGAGCTGCCAGACCTGAGATGTAGGTCATGCTGGAATGACAGCTGAGCAGTCTTGGTGCAGTTCAGTTGCTTGTTTGAGTGAGATGACTTGTGTGTTGATCAATAACACTGCATAAGGAACTTGGCTCTGACCAAGACTGCTGATTGCCACCTTCTCATTCCTTTACTTTCCTGGGCAGCTTCTGGAACTGAGATTGCTTTTGTCCTGGATGGATCAGGGAGCATTGAGCCCGAGGATTTTGAAAGAGCAAAAGGATTCATCCATAAGATGATGAAAATGCTGTATGAGAAGTGCTTTCAGGTACTCTCCACTCTCTTTCTTTAGCAGGCTAGAGAATGTGCTGTGCTTTAAGCTGCTCTTCACTAGAACTTGAAACTGCACAGGTTTGTTTCTATTAGGATGGAAAAGCACTTCCGTGACTGGCAGGTATTCTCAATATAATTTTGCTTACATCTCAGCAGTACATTCCCAGTCTTGATCCCAGTAACATTGTTGGTATAGAAAGTCTTATTTCTATGCTCAGAAATCCCTAGGTCTGCTACGCTGCCCATCTCTGCTTTCTTGTAAGGTGACAGTCATGACTCTCCTCTGGTCTCCTGTCTCTATTCCTATTCTGCAATCACAGAAGCACCAGTTAAGACTGCTTCTTCAGCCAGGTACCTTACCAGTCTTGTTTAACTCCGGTTACATATTCTGCGAGAAGGTACTCTGCTGCTTCCTTTTGTGAGGCTAAGAAGTGTCATCCACACAACAACTTTAGGAAAGCCTCTATCTCTCAAATGGTTCAAATGACAGCATATTCTAGGGTGCAGATACAAAATGAAGAAATGGTCCCATTCTCCAGACTGTCTTTGTTAATCAGACTGTCATGGCATAGGAGTACTCCAAGGAAAGGCAATGTGCAGCAGGAAGCAATGAAGGAACAATTCAGTAGTATCACATATAATCTCCTCTGCAGCCTGCACGTGGGCCAAACAGAGCAGGAAAATGCAAGGACTTCAGTCAGTGTTTCCCAAAACAATTTTTCTCTCTGAACTGGTAGTACCTTGGTTTTCCTGAGCTATAACATACTTACAACAGTCACTGTGTCTGCACTAGACATACTTAAAAGCCATGTTCTTCTGAAAAAAAAATCTTCCTTTCTGCATAGTCTGGCTAATATTTCTGTTGGGATTTCTGGGCTAGTTATTGCAGAGATGAATCAACAGTAGTCACAAGCATGTGCTTATCTGCTGCTTCCTTCCAGTGCAATTTTGCAGTGGTGCAGTATGGGTTTGAAATCAGAACGGAGTTCGACCTGCGAGAAAACTGGAATCCTCATGCCACCCTCCAGAAAGTACTTGATATTGTGCAGGTGTGCAATGTGACAAAAACAGCATCTGCCATGCAGTATGTCCTGTAAGTAACAAAAGAGCACAAGAAATTAAGGGGATGAATTTCTGGGGCATTTCATGAGTAAGGGAGAGGGACATCTATGAACATCCAGGTCCTGAAAGCAGTGGTCCATCCTGGAAGCATTCAGGTCCATCTGGCAGTGGTTGAATGGCAGGCAGTGGTTCCTATGCCATGTTTTAGAGGGTTAAAAAAAGCAGCTGTTGGTGCCTAATTCTTGGTGTGGGGGCACTCAGGAAGCAATAGAAAGGGAGACAACCCCTAGCAGTTTTAAGACGTGTGAGTATGAAGATGTGTGAATCCTCTTGCCTCCTTCCTGTGACTGTTAGTTGCAAGTGCATAATTCAACAGGACTCTTCCTTCTGTCTCAAGGAGGGAAGCTTCAGCTTTCATCCCAAGTTCCTTGTTTTGATGTTTTCCAGGGATTCTATCTTCACTGAAAGTCATGGGTCCCACAAGGATGCAGCCAAGGTCATGATTGTGCTTACAGATGGGGAAATACTCCTGGATGAAATGAACTTGACAACTGTTATAAATTCACCCAAAATGGCAGGAATCAAGCGTTATGCTATTGGAGTAAGCTGGGAATGTACTTGGAGAATATTTGCCTTCTATTTCTTGGTAGCACCAGGGGGCAGAGAAAAGGAGAAACCAGCAAATTAACCTGTGTGTTTGTTTGTCAAGAAGGCTTTGTCCTGAAGTCTGAAGTTTAGTTTCAGACCTGCTCTATGTCTCCTCAAATAATATTCCTGCTATCTCTTATCATTCTTTCAGGACAAGAAAATGTTCAATTTTGTGATGTCTTGTAATCAGTTGATTTCCAAAATTAATTGTTAGATACAGCAAAAGTGTATAACTGAATATAGCACCAGCCAGTTACATGAAGATGCTTGTAATGGTTTGGCTCCAGGAGACACTGCGGCTGTCCAGTTCATTGGTTTCTAAAGCAATTGCTATTCCTGGGTTTACACATACTGGCTGGAGCTGAGGTTTTTCCACAGACTGTTGAAGGAATTAGGTCGGGGTAAGAAGCCTCTAAAGGCTGCTTCTTTTGTTTGATTTGCATTCCTTCTGCAGGTGGGAGACGCCTTCAAAAAACCAAAGGCCCTAAACGAATTGCGGCTAATTGCCTCTGGTCCAGATGACACTAATGTATTTCAGGTGACCAATTATTCAGCATTAGATGGGCTGATTTCAACCCTGCAGCAGAGTATTATTGGCATAGAAGGTAAGTAGCAACCTTTCTATTTCACTAGTACCTTTTGAGAAATAAGGAGAAAGTAGCTTACCCCATTTCTGCTGCATCCTCAGGTACACAGGGTGATGCTCTGGAATATGAACTTGCACAAGCTGGTTTCAATGTGCAGATCTTGGATAAGGTAAGTGTTCTGCATTTAACCCTGCTAAATGGTTGTATGCTGTGCTGCTGTGATACTTGTAAGGTTTCAGGAGGTCTCCCACAGTAAACTGTGGTGATACAAAAGTGTAAGACCCATGTAGTCAAATCTTTTTAGCAAGCCACTGCTTGCTTTGAATGTGTCAGATAAGCAAAAATATCACTTTTATATAGTCTGTGAGTAGGGATGGGATTTATCTTGTGACTCCTGTTCTAACTACTCCATCCTTTTTATTCCACTGGGCAAAAGAGCTATCTCCAGTTGATAGCTTTGATTTTGCTAGGAGAAATCAAAGCCACTAACTGAATCTCCAATGCGCAAGTCAGGTAGTTTAGGAGCCAGAAAACATTGCTCCATACTAAATTGCTTTGCGGAGTGCTAGAGGCAATTGCTCTGTGTTCATCTCTTCTAATTTGCTAATGTTGCTTCTGCAGCAAGTCTTAATCTTTGGTGCAGTGGGGGCCTTTGACTGGTCTGGTGGAATTCTGCTGTATGATCTGGCAACCAAGACTGCTGTTTTCCTGAATGAATCTAAAGAAGCAGCCCAACAAGCAAAATACGGTTACCTAGGTAATAGGTTTACTACTCTCTGAGATCAAGTGACAACCTAACTGCGGTTTTGCTTAGTTTATTGGCATTTAGTGCAGTGTGGCAATAATGACAATATGTACCTGATGAAGGCCACCTCCTGCTGCATCATACTGGATTTCCAGTGTTTTCTCTAGCAGGGAGATCGATTCTGATGAAAACACTCTCTGCCTCCTTGTTTTGGGAAGATACAACTTGTTTTCTCCTATGAGTTATGATGCCTTGTGGTACTGCTCTGTTAACACATGCCATTTGTTTTCACTGTGCAAGAATACTTGCAATGAGGGGCATTTTTAGAGTTAATAAATATTTCACTTAATGCGAGTGCATGGAGAAGACAGCTTGTGAATCCATACTGTTCACGTCTTGGTAACAAGTAAAGCCTTGCTTATTCACCCCAGTGCTTTGTAGCCTAATGATCCCTGTATCTCCTGACTGTAGCCTTGGCCATAAAGTCTTACCAAGTAATATGAGGTGCTGTGGACTTGTTTGTGTTGAGATAATCCCTCTCCCATTACCTCCGTGCTACAGAAGCCCCATAAAGTTCTTGTTTTGCTTTCTAGACAGAGTATAGTATATTCTTCACTTCTGTGGAGGATGATAAACCTTACAGCTTGCAGGCATAATAATTGAAACCAAAAAAGTGTGGATGATGGATAATCATGCAGGAACTCTGACAAATGCTAAGAAAAGTCATCAAGAGTTCAAGCATATTTTTCAGGACAGTAATTTATTCAATTACCCTAAGAGCTGCTAAGGCAGCTTTGCTGGCTTTGCTGTCAGAAAAGTTGCCTGCTATTTCCTAATCAGTATTTTTATGCGATGCTGTGTAATCAAAACTACGGGCTCCAACAGTTAGATTATGGTGTAAGTTCTTGGATCTCATTGAATATATAGGACTGTGTCTCAGACCAAACTCTGTGGGTTTTTTCCTTCAGGTATAGAGTATGGTACTGATAACGTATGCTATTTTTATTCTTGTGTGAATATACCAGGGTACAGCGTGGCAGTGGTACACACAGAATATGGACCCTTGTACGTGGCTGGAGCTCCACGGCACAGCATGAGCGGGAAGGTGTTGGTGTTTCAGGATGGCCACTTAAAACAAACCCTGCAAGGAGAACAGGTATTGGGCTTCACTCACCAGGGGCAGGTAGGCTGCACACATCTGTCTGCTCAAACAGAGCTGCATTTTCTCCTCCAGACACACTTGGATTTAGCCAGATGTGTATTACAGAGTCTTTGTTCATAGTGCTTTGTGAACAGCAGAAGAAATCATGAAATTTGGAAAAAGACTGGGAAAGAAATTAGCTAACTGGGGTGTGCTATATTTATGTCCTGTCCTCATGGTTCGTGGGGAAAGAGGTCATCAGCTGTGGTACTCCTTTTTTCCTCTGTCAAATTGTTGAATAATGATTTTGTTACTGCTAATCTGGTTATAGGAGCTGTCCCTGAGGATGGCTGTAATAAAATAAATAATAGGAAATGATCCACATATAAGTAGGTATGTGGTGTTTTGTTCTAAAAATTGCCTTACTGCTGCAAAGGACACTAATTCTACAAAGCTATATATAGAGAATTCCAGTGAAAGAGCTGCTTGTCTTTTTCTGGAGCACAGGTTGGATCTTATTTTGGATCTGAGCTCTGCCCAGTTGATGTGAACCGTGATGGGGTGACAGATCTTCTCCTTGTTGGAGCTCCATTTTACCACATTCGAGGGGAAGAAGGAAGGGTTTACGTCTATCGCCTGGAGACAGAGGTAAAAACACTGGTAGCGTAAACACTCCATGTTGGGGATTTTCCAACCATGCCTAAGTAGTGACAAATAAAACATTCCTCCTTTGTGCTCTCACTGAGTGTGCTCTCCCTGTATGGTAGAGGACTGCAGGCTGAAGCCAGCAAGCCTGTCTTAATCATTAGAATATAAAAGAGAAGTAACAAGAAATAAAACCAGTCTGTGCCTAAGGTATACACTTATCACAGTGTGATGATATCGTATCTTTAGCCCATACAAAGGCAATTTGTTGATGCAGACCTTGCTCTGCCAAGCAGTGTTCCTTGTGATGCTTGCAATAAACATGTGCATGTGTAGCTGCTAAAACTTTGCTTCCTGGGACTTGTGGAAAACAAAATGTTTTGTGAGCCTTGCTGCAGGATCTGTTACATGATATATAGGATATAAGTTAATTGTGTCATTTCGAGTGAGATGTGAACTTTAGCAGTAGACACTCTTTGGTGCTCTGCTAAAATCGGCTCAGGGCATATAAAGGATGGTTGGAAGCAGGAAAGAACAGCCCGGGCATGACAGAATTCAAATAACGTGCACCCTCTTGTGGCTTATTTCTGTAACAGGGTGGAGGAGATGGGATGCTTTCCGTTATGAAACAAGCCCAGGATCAACTCAATCCGCTACTGATTTAAGAAAAGACAGGGCTTCAGTGTGTCTGCTTGAGTAGGGCTGTCCAGAGACACTGCTTCTGTGCGAGAATTTGTATGCTCTCAAGGCAGAAGGATCAATCTTCTGTCCCAAGAATTAGCTGGTATCTTGAATTCAATATATTATTTAGGACTTCATTGTTCACCTTTAAGAATTATTAATGTGCAGAAAAATATTAGTGTGCAGTAAGATTATGTCTTTTTTTATGTAAGAGCTACTGATGCTACATTTGCTATAAATGGATTTCCTCTGGGGTGTTTTTCAGACTGGATCATTCACCTTGAAAGAACACTTAAATGTGCAAGTGACCTCTCCTTTTGCAAGGTTTGGGTTTACTGTGGCCAGCATTGGAGACATCAATGGGGATGGATATGAGGATATTGCAGTTGGAGCCCCCCTTGAAGATCAGCTTTCATACGCTTCCTCTTTCGGCAGCATTTACATCTTTAATGGGGATAAAGACAGGATCAAGAGCTCTTTTTCTCAAGTACGTGTCTTGTTGGGAATTGGCTCCAGTACAGCTTGAGAGGGAGAAGCTTGTGGTTCTGTAGCATGAGGCTGGGAAGATGGACTTCCACGTGTCATTTGCATTTATGGGTGAGAAATTTGCAGATGTCAGATGGTTTATGTGACTCAGTAGGTTTCTGCAGCAGAGCTGCTTCTTAACTGTAATTACTCACCTGTCTGCTCAGGCAGAGGAGCTGGGTTCAGGTGCTGGCTATAGAACATCACAGCCTTTTGCAAGCCTGCCTGTCCTTTACAGGCTGTTCAGAGTCAGTATTTTGCATCTCAAGAATGTTACAAAACCCTCCTCACAGCAGCCTCCTGAAAAGACGTGTATTTTCCCAAGGACAGGAGAGACTTCATGACTTATATTCATTTATGTTTCCCCCTTTTAGAGAGTAAAAGCCTCAGAAATTTCTTCAGGACTCCAGTATTTTGGACAATCCATTGATGGTGGCTTTGATTTCACTAATGATGGTCTCCAAGACATCACAGTAGGATCACTGGAGAACGTGATTGTGCTACGGTAGGTAGTAAGTTCTATTTTTTAGTGTGCTGAGGAAATGCTTCAGACAAATTTAGAATCTGTGTTCCAAGCAGTGTAATGATTCTATTTTTAATTCAGTGCCAGAGGGACATAAAAAATATTTCCCAGTGCTAGAAATCATATAAAATGTAAAGCCTTTAGCTCAAGTTGCAAAGACTTTTCCCTTTGTATGTGTAAAGCTTTGAACAAGCATGAGGTAGTGAACATGAAATGATTAACACAGATCTAGATCTAAGGAGAACTTGATGTCTGCAGTTCAGTACTGATAATGTAAGTCATTTTGACAAAAAAGATCATTTCTTTACATTACATACATTACATTGCATTTACATACCTCATTTTCAATCAGACATTTTTTAACTGGTAATGGGTTAAAACTTAAACAGGGAAAGTTTAGGTTGGATATAAGGAGGAAATTCTTTCCTGTTAGGGTGATGAAGCACTGGAATGGGTTGCCCAAGGAAGCTGTGAATGCTCCATCCCTGGCAGTGTTCAAGGCCAGGTTGGACAAAGCCTTGGGTGGCATGGTTTAGTGGGAGGTGTCCCTGCCCATGGCAGGGGGGTTGGAACTTGATGTTCTTAAGGTCCTTTCCAACCCTAACTACTCTGTGATTCTATGAACTGAGAGACCTGTGCAGTTCACAAAGAGTAAGACATGGCAGACAGATTTGATTTTGTTCTTGCATTTTATGTTTGAAAACAAATTATAGATACAGAATTTGAACCCCTAGATAATGTGTTTACCTAATGGAAACAAACAGCATGTTTAATTCTGAAACTCTAGCCATACTGGTGTATTTTGGCGGTCTGTTCCTTCAGACTCTTGGGATTTTGTGTGTTCTGAACATTCCCAGCAGAAACTGGAACTTCTGTAAATAAGCAGCCTGGTCCAGGTGAAATACCATGGAAATACTGAGCAGTTCTTACTCTTGCTGCCAGGCTTTCTTCAAACATTTTTCCTGTAATGTTTCAGTTCAGAGACTTCCTTTTGATTCTCTTCCTTATGCGTTCTTCACTGACCAGCTCGAGACCAGTTGTCCACTTTCTCACCAGCATGAGATTCAACCCTGACAGAATCCTCATTTTCCAAAATAACAGCCTTGTCACAGCACAACTATGTTTCAATGCAATCTCGGCTCTACCGATGTCTCAACAAGGTAATGAATGGGAACTGTGATCAGATTGAAAGCTGCGGTCCTACGACAGTCCTTGGAAACTTGGCACCGAGGACAATTTCTGGTACCTCTAACAGGATTTTTAAAATCTTGCAGAGTTTTCACAGTTGTACATTTTCTACACGGTGGACTTAGATGTGAAAATGGCAAAGAGGAGAGTACAGTTTGAAGATCAGAATACCACAACAAGTGGGAAGCTGTTGGTCAGCGAGCACATGTGCTCTGAACTGCAGCTTTACCCGCTGGTAGGTGATGTTGGCCAGACTTCCTACAGAAAGAAGGGTTGAGAGGGTAGGATTTCATAACAGAATCTGCATGATGATGAGTCTTGAAATGTAAAAATACTGCAGTGGGGTAGGTTTTCCTGGTGTTAGGCTTGCTGAGCACGTTTTACAGCTGATGATGTAGAGGAGATGTAGAACTGTAGGAGAGGCATGGAGCTGTGCAGAATTAAAGCAAACATAAGGAAACTCTTCCACAATGCATACCTGAATCACTGAACACATTATCAAGGAGATGTTATGGGAGCCAAATGTCTAAAGTGATGCAAGAAAACATTTGATAGGCAAATGTTCCTCTGATACCTACTAAACACAGTGGCCCAAAGAAAACGTCTGAGCTAGAAGGTCCCTAAATATGACAGAAGCTGAAACAGAGATGACATGTGAACACTTCTGCAGTTTAATACCCAGATATTTTCTTCAACTTCTTGTTTTTCTTTTCTTGTAGCCATGTGACTCTGACTGTTTTACCAGTGTGTTTCTGAGAGTTAAACACGACGTCTTGAACAAAAATGATCCCATGGAGTTTGCTGTCCCTGTGCTGGATAGATACCAGCCATCAGAAATGCATTTTCAGGTAAAAAAACGAAGCAGTAGTAAAGAGCTTTCTGTCTTGCTTTACTTTTGACCACTTTTGACTTTCTCCTGTGCCTCTGTATAAAATGAGATCAGATGCTACTTGCAAAGGCAGGTGGTGTGTGTGTTTTGTGAAGTACTTCTCAAATACTGAGCTTTCTGTTGAAACTTATATTAAGATTTGTTATTTGAATGGTGTATTTGGTAGCAACAACTATACAATTGCCTAATGTACAATTTTAAATTCTACTTAATTCTAAATTAGCTTTCTAATTTTAAAACACATTCAAATTGTATTTATAATTTTTAGTTTTAGTTGTTTGTTTCAAATCAACATTTAGGAGGCAGCAAACTTTTAATAACCTTAAAGTTAAGTTTGATACCCTGTCTCCTCTCTTGCCCTTTAGTAGCTGCATTCCTACAAGCTAATCTGGCTTTTTCACGGTTTCTCTGAAATCCAAATCACAGCTTGTGAACAAATTGCATAAAGCTCTGTAAAGAGCATTTTGCTACTTAATAAGCGTTTTTACCATCATTCAATATTGTATTAGCTGCCCATAAAGCAGAGGACAGAAATGTTAGGAAAACATTTAGCACTGAGCAATAATGAACACTACTTACTATAGTTACAGTGCTCTTAGGGATTATGATGTTGATGGTACATTAATTTCCCAATAATACATGAGATTCTGGACTGTTAGTCAGCATTGCTTAGTGCTTATGCACACAACATCCAATTATTAATTCTCATTGAAATTCTCCAGAAACATCAGCCACAGACAGATTTGTCTTGGTGAATAAAACTTGCTAAAGAAAGTAACCTCATGTCTACAGAACAGCGTGGCTGTAAAATCGCACAGCACATGAGCATATTTATTCAAGGAAAACATATAGTCTCTGGAAAATAGGTTAATATTATTGCCCTGTAGCAATCCAGAGGTAAGTAAGTGGCATTTCTTTAACAAGACCTTGACCCCAGTGAAGACTTTTCCTGCTATTGCTAATGAACCTTGTCCTGGGAGCTGAATTACAAAACATCATCAATGATTTAGTGCTGGAGGGTCTTTTTTTTCCAGCTTCTCCTTGATGGAGGTCATGGGAATTTTGATTGTCAGAGGATGTATGTTTATATGTAGATATTCTGAATCTGCTACCTTAGAAAAATTAAGGCTGTTTAACTTGCTCTGTCTTTGCTTTCAGTTGCCTTACAAGGAGGACTGCAACAAGACCATCTGCGCTGCTCAGTTAACTTTGACAACTGAGATTCAGTGAGTCATACTTATTGCATTATCCAGATTTTGCATTTATCATTCATATAAAGTGGCATCTTTGTGCTTAAGATGTTTTCTTTAAATTCTCAGGCAAGATTTGCTGTCCTCCTTCTTACATTGCTTTCCATTCAGTTCATCCTTTCCCTAGCATCACATTCACACAGTGTTGTAACGTCAAGCCTCCATGGGTGTTGCTGGGGTGTTCTAGGAAATTTTAGAGGACAGACCAAGACCAAGGTTTAAGCAACTCTGGTCATCATAAAATCACAATTCTGATTTTTAATTGTGAACATGTGACAGTTCTAGGCAGATGCACAGCGTAGCGCTACAACAGATAGCTCCTCAGTTCACACAGCCTTAGACAAAATAGTAGCTTTACTGCTGTCGTGGTTTAAACCCAGTCAGGTAATTCGTTCGCTCACTTCCCCCCCTTTCTTGCCCTCCCCCTGCTCCCGGAGAGACAGAGAGGAGAATCGAAAAGAATGCAACTCCCACGGGTTGAGATAAGAACAGTTTAGTAACTAAGGTATAACACAGATCACTACTGCTACCACCAATGATAATAATGATAAAGGAAATAACAAGGGAAGAGAATACATCATCTCACCACCAGCCGACCGATAACTCGCCCCCCCCAGCCCGACCAAGCTCCGACCGATACCTCCTCCAACCCTGCCGTCTCACAGCCCTTCCGGCTAACTCCCAATTACATCCTGGGCATGACGTGCTGTGGTATGGAATACCTCTTTGGTCAGTTTGGGTCAGGTGTCCTGTCTCTGCTTCCTCCTGGCTTCCCCTCCTCCCTGGCAGAGCATGAGGCTCACAAAGTCCTTGGCCAAACCAAAACATCGCTTGTTATCAGCTCTGTTCCCGAGCTGAAAGTCAAAACATTGCACTGCACCAGCTACCAAGAAGGGGAAAAATGACTGCTACTGCTGAACCCAGGACAACTGCATTGTAAAAATTTGCCCTGGAGATTCACTGAGAAGCCAATCAAGCAGAACAATGTTTGAAATCTATCTTGATGTAAAACATATTATAAAATGCTACATAAAGTAACTGCCTTTGAAATTAAGAAGGAAGCATTTTCCTACACACCCTGAAGAATACTGAATAATTAATTGGACTATTGCATTATCCTGTGTATGAAAGCATCTGGAGGAAGTAATTATCAGAACAGTCAGGCCTCTTATTAATAACAACCCTTAGAAATTACATGTGATCTCATTTTTCTGTTTCTAGAAAGGAATTAGTGGTGGGCTACACTAAAGAAGTGAGCATGAAGGTTTCACTAATGAACAGTGGAGATAACTCATACATGACAACTATGGTCTTGAATTACCCCAAAACCTTGCATTTTAAGAAGGTGACATTTGAGGTAAGATTATAGAACAACTCTTCAGCTAGCAGCAGACTGCTTAAAGAAAACCCAGCTTAGACTACTATTAATTTACTACCTAAATAAAACTTTATGAGTTACAGGGAAGGGAAGGAGCATTTCAGTTGTTAGGACTGAATATTGCATTTATCTGATTTAATACTCCCAAGCTTTTATTGGGCTATTTGTACTTAATTCATTTTACGGGAGCAGGCACAGACTGAGTTGAAATTCCCAGTCTGTTTTTATTCAACATTAAAGAGCATTCCTGTTCTGTTGGCAGCCAACCTCTCCTGCTGTTCACTGTGGCCAACCAGTACCATTAACTTCTGCAGTCTTATCCTGTAACTGCAGAATTGGGTATCCAGTGTTCAAGAAGACAACTGTAAGTAGAGATCATGATTTCATTATTTTCATTTTTTCCATACCTCTAAACGGTACTTAGAGTAGCTGCTCTTGCATTCTCTATCTCTACAAATAGACCAGAGCTGCCATTCTTTCTAATTCAGCTTATGGCTGGTATGCATTTTCTGAATGTAAGAGATAGCCTTCATATTCCTGCACTTTATTTAATGTCTAATTTCTCTAGAAGGAGAAATTACTGTGAGCAGAAAATACCGTAGCCCTCATGTTTTAACAGTACCTTGGAGAGTTAGAGTATTTACGGGGTAATTGATATTTCATTGTCTTTCTTTTCCCTCAAAATAGGCAGATTTTTCAGTGATCTGGCAACTAGAGGAAAGCATATTCCAAAACAAGTCTTCGATCACTGTGAATATCACAAAGTGAGTATTGCTATTTTCACCACACAATACATGACAAACTAGAAAGGGTATATCAGAATTCCTACTCAGTGTCCATACTATTTATCAGTTACATAACTATACTTTTCAACCTCCTGAGGCACTTGGATCTATGTGAAAAACTTTTCCTTCCCTTATGAAAATCTTAACTTTGCTCATACTTCATTATTTCAGTGAAAGATGGAGCACCCTTTAAGGTCCTTAAGTGTAGTATGTATTTAAAAGCTTGTGTGTTCTAGCATCCTCCCACCTTAGCAGAAAGAACAGATAATTAAATACATAATCCAGCTCTGTTCCATGAAAAGCTTTCACTCCAAATGATGGGGATGAAAACATAGGTTTAAGGCATTTTTCTTGATTAGGGGCTATCTAATGGGTGGAAGTTACCATTCAGATTCCTTTCTTGTCATCTTCCTACCTTTAAAATGTATGGGGACTGACTGGTCCCCATTAAAGGGAGAATCTTTAAAAAGGAAATGAGAACACATCTCTGGCAGGTGTACTTCCTTGCAAGCACAGTTGAAGCCAAAGGGTTCTATATTAATTTAATGTCCAGTTTTGTGAGGGGTAGAGGCTTTAAATTTTGATTAATAAAAGCACAGATGAGCATTGGTTTGTGGGGAAACATTTCAAGGCAATGACAACTTTCCAAATCTGTAGTAATTACAGTAATAAAGGGCTACTCCAACACTCCTGTACCATGTCATCACTGTTTCCATCCCTCTTGTACAGCCAATATTAACAATTCTAAAACCATAGAAATTAAGGACCAAGGCAAGCAGATAATGAAGTGGCTTCTTCCCTTTTTTAAGCATAAATGAAAATAGGACCATTCTGACTGAAGAACACATCCTTGATGTCAGATATGCATTCACTGCAGTCCTTACCAGGTAAGTTAGTTTTAAGAAGATTCAATTATATTTTATTCCTTTAGTCAATTAAAGGCAAAAGGATTTAGAGGATGCCTGGTATGTTTCCAATGCAATTTCCATCTTAATAATTTCAAGCACTGCAGATTGTCAAGTCGCTTTCTGTGGTATGAGACAGCAAAAGTAGAGCCTGGAAGACAAAACAATAAAGCTCTGTCATAGGCTGGGGGTGCCTTGGGTGTCCAACTGCTTAGCTTGTAAAAAGTAGACTTGAAGATGAGTTCAGAGATGCATCTGATTGACAGACTGCATATATACACATATATACAGACAAACTGCATAGACAGCATTCCAGTTACAGCAAATCTGATGATGGTAGCTCTTAATTACACTTAGTGCATATGGGTCATTAGATGTACTAATTTTTTAACACTCTAACTCACTTCCCACTCAGTTTGATTTATCATCCTCTTTAGACCCGTTTCTTCAATGTATGTGAACGTTGGTGAAGGACTACTTGAAAACAAAGAATTCAGATTTAATGTAAGTATAGCTTCAGATTTAGGTCATCTGATTCACTTCCAGTCAGGACTGAAGAACACTTACTACTTTGTGCATTTTCTTCTGTAGATAAATGGAGAAAATCGCTTTAATGCTACCATCAAGTTACAGATTTGTGTTCCCATAAATATACAAGGTCACAACATAATGACAGTCAAAAATGCATCAGGAACACAGGTACCTTCTCCTATATTTTTCATAATCAAATACCTCTTCATTAGTCCTTAAAGTGTGTGTGTGAGGAGGGGAATACTTTCAGAGTGTTTTTAAAACCTACACTACTGAACCTTTACATATTTACGTTTTGCATCACCGTTCCATGTACAAACTTTGCCAAACTGAAGTTAAGTGTTAAAACTAAGTCAGAAGGTGGGGTTTCCCTTCTCTGTCCCCAACTGGCCTAACACCATTTATCTGTGTCCTCACTGCCCAGAATTGGTTTTGGTTTGGTTTTTTGGTGGTGGGTTTGTTTTTGTTTTTTCCTTTTTTCTTAAAAAAAAAGGAAAGAATTTGTAAGGAGGACAACAGAGTAAGGCAAGAACTTTTAAAAATCCAAGACTGAAAAGGTAAGAAAATTTCTGTAGAACTGAAGCCATGAATTGAGCCTCAAGAAATCTGTCTTGCAATCTCAAACATCACCCCTCAAAAAAAGGACATATGGAAACGTGTGAGAGCAGAACTATTTTGGGAGGGTTTTTAAACATTTTTTACAGCATGTTGTACACATTGGTAACCAATGATAACACTTCCTTGTGCCCACATTTAAAAAAGATCATACACAGAAGCAGCAAAGGAGAAAGGCAGCATTGGAAACACTGTGCTCCCTTGCTCAGTGGAAGAGGCTGCTGTTTTGTAAAACTTCATTGGCAGACTCAAAGTTCAGTACTTCCCTGTGGAAGTTCTCCAGCTGCTGCTTTATTTTCTTCAGAGCAGAAGTTTTTTCCTTTTTCTTGTAGTTCACACCTTTCAAAAGTTTATCTGACAGGTAGTGCAGCCAGAGGACATTGCTGTGTGGATGATAGTCAGACCAGCTGTTGGAGTTATCCACTTTCATTTGCCTGTAGATATCAAACTGGTAGTCCCCTGTGCCTTGAAACAGTTCTTCATCAGTGGAAAGGTCACAAAACACAGTTAACCCATCCTTCTCCAGCCGAGATAAGGTGTAATCAATGATGTTGACATGAATCCCTGCTGTGGGGATTGTGTGTGTTGCCCCATTCAACACATAACTCAGCTTCTTGACATTAGTTTTCTTTACCAGCACATTCCCCCAGTGCAAGTCCCTGTGCTCAAAGTACAGTTCCTGTTCCGCCACAGCCAGAGAAGCGGTGACCTGGTGCAAAATGCTTTTCGCTGTTGCCACTGAATTTAACTTGTTTCTCATATTCTCCAAGTCACTGCCCCCAAATTCAAACTCCAGTACCATGAATAGCTGCTTGTCCCCATAAAGGTCTGGCCGATCATTTTCTGATCCTATTACTTCATGGTATTTGTCCCAGGCTTCCAGGAGATACTTAGGATAAGCCCCTTGAACACAGTGCACAGAATACAAGCTGATGAACCCAACAGTTCTATTCACAGACTCTTCAGATAGAAGACTGAGTTCTTTTGATATTATTATCTCAGGCAGAATCTCTCCAAAACTCTTTTGAGATTCTCCATTTACTCTTTCAGTCCCCTCAATGGGAATTATTTTTAAGGCCACAGGTCCTCTCTTGCTGCCAACCTGGAAGACCTCTCCGAACACCCCTTCTCCAATTTTCTTGCAGTCTTTCATCTTATCTAGAGGAATGCATTCCTCAAAAGTAATAGGCCCTTCCTGCTGGCATTCCCCAAACACCTTCTCTGCATCTGTAAGCATTAGTTCCAGAACAGAAGAGGAGTTCATAGGAGCCAGCAGGGCCATGGAGGAAACAGACCAAATAGAGCACTGAGCCTTACCAGCAGATAGCATTGCTTGGTGCTCTGAGAGGTGGGATTTCATGGAAGGGGTGCAAAGGATGCTGTTGCAGGAACTGTCATCCATGGTAACTTTCTTCTTCTTATGGAAGGAGAAAGATGCTTGAACCCTACCCCAGGAATAGGAGCTGTTGAGGAGTGAATAGTCATCGCCGCTTACATCTACAGACATCTCTAGCACACCCCTTTTCATTCTTCTTTGCCTCATCTGTGGTCTGGAAAGGGGGTTCTTAGGCTGCTGCTGTCTCTTGTTTTTGAGCCGTTTTGGACCGAGCCTTATTGGCATCCCCCAGCGGCTGGCACTAAAGCCACTGATGCAAGCTTTCCTACAGGTACTGGCCTCTCCAGAAACAACTTTGGTGGTTTTATGTTTATTCTCTAAGGGTCCTTGAAAGCCCAAAGGAGAGGCTGGCTGCTGCCAGGCAAGCTGAGTATCTCCCTTTTTGTTTTGTTTCATGCTTGCCAGCCACACTGCCACTTCTTGAGGATCCAGAACCACCACTGGCATAAGCTGGTACTTCTCAGCTCCGCTTCTCTGACATCTCGAGGTTCCTTTTGTTGCAGCTCTACTTAGAGCATCAGATGGCTCATTAGAAGTGGCACCGTCATCATACGGGGCAGAGTGCTGCCGGTGGCTGTTAACAGGAGACAGTGCTGCGGTGGCTGTCCGGGAGGACAAGGGCGATTGTTCCCGGCAGGGTTCCTGCACCATCCTCAGAACCCTGGGGGTCCTTTGCTCCTTGGGGGCTGGCTCAGGGCTCCCGCCTGTGCCTTTGGAACAGGACCGTCCGGCTGCCTCCCGCCTCCCGCTGTCAACCCCCGGCAACAGCGAGAGCTGCCCCGAGTCCCCATGAGACAGCTCCAGTGCGCTCTGGGGGGTGTCGGACGGGGCACTGCGCTGCTTGCGCGGCGGGGAGCGGAGCTGGAGGCTGCCGTACAGCCCCGAGCCGCCCTCCGCGGTGCTGCTCAGCTCGGCCGGCGGGGTCCGGCGGCGGCGAGACCGAAGGCGCGGCTGCGGCCATTGCGGGGTGCTGCACAGCAGAGGGCGCCTGGCCCCGCAGGGCGGCCCCTGGCGGCAGCGGGAGGCGCCGCGTGGGGACGGGGGCAGTGATGGCGGAGAGCAGGCGAGGCCCGGCGGCCCCGGAGCCCAGTTCTCCTTGTTCGCGGCTCCGTTGCGGCGGGTCCGCAGGCTCCAGGGGCAGACGGGGCGCTTACCCAGCGTCTGTGAGAGGCGCTTGTGGGGCGGCGAGAAGTCGGGGTCGTCCGAATGGGTGGAGTGAGCGCTGGAGCTGGCTGAAGCGGCGCTGGAACCGGTAGAGGTCGAGCTGAAGAACCGCTTACGGTCCTGAGGCGGCGAAATCCAGCGGTCGGGCAGCGGCACCGGGCGGACGCGGCCGCCGCGGCGCGAGTAGGTGCGGAGCAGGCGAAACTGCACCGGCATGGCGGCGGCGGGCGGGCGGGCCGGGCCCCGCCGGACACCAGCTGCGGCACCCGCCCGCCTCCGGTTCAAATGAGATACCGCGAGATGTGGGCTGAAGCGGCGAGAGGACGGGAGGTGCCCCCGCCAGGCCCCGCCCCCTGCGCAGGTTTGGCGCCTGCGCGCTGCTCTCAAAGTGTTGTTGCAGGAGGGGACGGCGTGCGCGGTCAGCGGGGAGACGGCACCGGCAGCGTGGGGGGAGAGCGGCGGCACGGACCCCCAGGTGAGCCCTGCTGGCACCGGCTCCGGCTGTCCAGCGGCGGGTCCCCTGTGACAGCCGGGGACTGAGCCGCTCCGTTGTATCGCAGGGTATTCGGGATGTGCAGTATCAGAGCGTGCACTGCTCTCTCCAAAGTGACGGCGACAACATTACCGTGATAGCGGAACTGTCTTTAAGCAATGCGCACCAGGTATATATGCAAAAGTTTGCTTTGCTGCCTTTATTCATGGAATCATGGAATGGTTTGGGTTGGAAGGGACCTTAAAGTTCCTCCAGTTCCACCCCCTGCCACAGGCAGGGACCCCTTCCACTAGGGCAGCTTGCTCCAAGCCCCTGTGTCCAACCTGGCCTTGGACACTTGCCAGGGATGGGGCAGCCACAGCTTCTCTTGGCACCCTGTGCCAGTGCCTCAGCACCCTCACAGGGAAGAACTTCTTACTAATATCTAATCTAAGTCTTCCCTCTGTCAGTTCGACGCCATTCTCTCATGTCCTATCCCTACATGCCCTTGTCAGATGTCCCTCTTCAGGTTTACTGTCAGCTCTGGGAGGCTGCTCTGAGGTCAGCCCGGATCTTTATTCACAGAATTGTTTAGGTTGGTGTCGTTTATGTTTAAATATGTTTAAGGTCACCAAGTCCAACCATTAACGTGTTGCATCTCAGCTTACTATTGATGCAGGGCACATGATCAATAGCAAATTTCAAAACTTCAGTTATGACTAAAATGGAATGGCAGTGAGCAGGGAGCATGCTGCTAGCAGAGGTTTATTACTGAACCCGGAATCAATGAATAACGAGTCTCATCAAATCCTTAGTAATGCCTTTATTGCTAAAATCTGTTACCTCTCAGAGGTCCAGGGTGAGGGTATCTTTGTACCACAGTGGTGTTGAATTTCCGCCTGTGACGCTGTTTTCTGACCCTGCAGAGCAAGAGGGATGTTTTACTCATGAAGTGTCTCCCAGGAGGCACTCAGAAGAGGAGCCTGATCCCCTTGCTCCACTTCAGGAACTGCTCCTTGTGAAATGATTCTCGTAGTGCTGCCTGCCAGCTTCCACGGCTCCAGGCAGCTCCTCATCGGCGAGTTACACACAACCTCATACACAAAAGAAACAGCTTGGTGGCAGCACTGCACAGGGTTGTTCTTACAGAGTCAATGAGGGTTTACTAATGCAACCCGTATTTTTCTGACAGGACCAAAAAAGCAACTGATATTTTGTTGCCTTTATTTCTTTTTCCATAGTTTTTAAAAAGTGGAAGTGCTTTGCTGGTCCCTGGGAAAATCACCTTCAACAAAGAACGGTATCTGGGCCTGGAAGAAGAGAATCATAATGCTGAGGTATCGGAGCATCATGTAGGCAGCTTGGTCTTTGGAGCATGGACAAGTGTGAAACAAAGATGTTTTTGCTGAATCTAGAGAACCAATCCAGTTCCCAAAGTTAAATTCAGGGCCTTTTGAAGCAAACATCTGTTGTGCCATGGAATTTAGTGAAATCAGGTTTTGACTATAGGATAAAAGCTGAGGGAGAATATTTGCTAGTGCGTATCAGAAGTGTTTTTAGGGCTCTGTGTTGAACTTTCTGTATCTGACACTGGTGGCTAAAACAAAGGCCTCCTGTCCTCTCAAGGATTCCAACATCAGTATTCTTTCTCTTCCCCTAGTGAAGACAGATTCTTCTTTAATCTGAAAGACTGACACTGGTGGCTACTGTGATTACTGTAAGCTTATAAAGAAGACTCAGTAAATTTAACTCCCTTGGCTAGGCTTGCAATGAAAAAAACATCTTTCATAGTGTATCACAAACTACACATGTAGATGGAGAGACACTCCCTCTAGCATAGCTTAAAGATGAAGCACTAGCTCAAGCTATATAGCTTTCTCAGTTAAAAGCTAACCAAGAAAAAATAACTGGGCTTCAGTGTATGCTAAGTTGGTCTTGATTCTGTTCCAGATTACTCTTATCTTCCTGAAAGACGAAGTGTTTGATCCCTTGCCTATTATTGTAAGAAGCTGCTTTGGTGGACTTTTCCTGCTGGTGTTCATTATTCTGCTCCTCTGGAAGGTGGGTATCATTAATGTATACACAACAAACCAGAAAACTTTTTTTTAGATGTTTTAACTTTTTTAAGACCTAAGCGTGAAAGCAGTATTTTCAACTGTGTGCTGAAGGACATCTGCCTCTTAGTGTTGTGAAATCTCTCTTGTGTTTTGAGCTGTTCTGAGCATTGCAGTAAAACCTCTTGAGTCCTGTTTTGAAGTGCTTTGCAGAATATTTGCACCTTACAAAGGGTTTATTATTGGTGTTCTGAAGAGTTTTAAACAATGTAGGCTTCAGGCTTACAGCTCTGCCAGAAGACATACCTGGGTTGCGTCCTGCATTCACTCATTTCACTTACAGCAACCCTTGCAATTTTTGTTTTACATTGTTTTATGAAAAAAAAACCAAAATTAATTCATATACAAAGACTTAATAAGATCTTTTATTTACTTATTTATTTTTTCCAGTGTGGCTTTTTCAAAAGAAAATATAGAGCTATGGTGGAGCAAGAGGATACGTCCTGAAGACTGAACTGGCCAAAGCAGACAGCTCTGTATGCTTTCCCCAGCTTTTGGAAAAAAAAAGTCTCTGGCAAAGTCAAAGTCTGGCTAAGATGCAAAGCAATCCATATTCCCTGGAAGAGCTATGGCACTCCAGATCTTGGCACTCTCCCATATTGCTGTTCTAACCATAGGGGCCCAGCTCTTTTGGGCAATTCGGTTACCAGCTTGTTTAATTTGAGGTATTTATCACAGAGGTATTGACAAACTTGATTCCCCATGAGAAATTTTGCTTATTGTAGATACACTAGGAAAAAATCATCTTGGAGCTTGTTAGATTTATGTATTGGATTGCAGACTTAGTTGCTGTGATGCTGAGTGGCTCTTGATTTTGGTATTGAGTAGCTTCATAAAATTGAAATGAAAATTGATTAGGGGAAGCTTTCCATCCTGCTATTGCTATTGAAAATGGAGACACAAGCATTTTACATATACATGTATATATATATGCACAAATTTGTGCATTTTAATACTGTAAATAGTAACACAGTATGTCCCTTGATGTCTGGTTCTTGGAATCAGAAGCATGTGTATGTGGCTATTAGGGGGTTTTGTACCTCACAAACTTATTCCTGATTTCCCATTTTCAGTTGCTTTCAAATCCTCATTTGGTCACCAATAAACCCTTGTATTGTTGACGGCATTGCCAGTTCAGACAGACTCCTCCTAGATCAGATTTCCCCAAATTGGCACTAACCCCCCCCCCCCGCAGCTTTACCCACAGGTGTTTGCCATTTCCAAATAATGACAAGGACAGACATTTGATACTATTCCTCTCTCTGTCTTTCCCTGTCCTGAACTGTTTAGTTGTTTTATTTCTGTCATGTTTGGCTAACCATCAGCCCCACAAACCTAATGCGTGTTCATGCACAGCAGTAGATTAAACAAAGATTTTTTTTTATTCAGACCTTCAGTAGGCAAAACGGTTCCCATCCGCGTTGGCTTAACCCGTGTTGCCTGATGGAAATCCAAAGTTGCACATAGCAGGGACTGAGAAGATGAGACTTCCTAGATGAGAGCTCAGAAAGGGAATCGCCTGAAACAGGGAAGCGCCTGTGTCAGGTCTTTTATCATAACGGCTCGGTATTATTGGAGAGAAATGTGCGTTCCCTGGTCTGAGCGGCTTTGCTGTCTCCCCCCTTTGTGTAAATCCTCTTTTTTTGTACTGTATTTAACTGCATCTTGTTTGAAAATAAATCCTTGCACTGGAAGCCTGACCGAGTGATGCACTTGCTGGCTGGAGGTGGTTTGAGGATTTTGCTGTACACTTTCCCAGGCAGCATAGCAACTCCGTGGCACTGCTCTCCATCACTCAGTCCAGACTTTGGCAGAGCTCTCACAAAGCCATTCTTCCTTGTCTGTCCCTCTGCGGAAGGAATTCCGTACGCAGAAAGCAGAATGTGCTGGGCTCTTTGAAGCTCTTCAGAGCTCTTTGAAGAGCTTCAGGCAAGACAGCTTCTCTGCAGTAGTGACTGCATTATAAGGAAGATGCTTTTTTGAAGGTTCCTTTTTTATTCACTTGTTTATTTTTAAGTGTGAGGGCATGCTGGCTGTTCTTGTGGGAGGGAAATGTTGTGTTCCTTTTTCCACTGCTCTACACAGGTCTTGCACTGAGTGACGTGTGCTGCGGAGAGCTGACAGTGGAAGGTCTGCAGCGTACTAGCAGTTGTGGTCTTGCTGCCCATCCTTCCTCCCCCTGCATCATCCCTTTTTCCCTATTTTCTTCTCTGAACTAAGTTTCCCTCATTACTTTGATCCCTTTTGTTGTCCCTTATGGCTCTCAAGAGGGTCTGCTCTTGCAGCAGGTAATGCCGTTTTCCATTTTAGATGTTTTTTCTTAAATGCATTACAGTGGTCTGTGACACGTAATTTCTGATGAGTGCCATTTGACCATGTAATTCTTTGCCACTGCTATAGCAGGTGCCAAACACATGTGCAGTAATCGGATGGCACTTAAGAGATTAGTTAAGACTGCCAAGACTCACAGTCCTGCAAACCACAGCTGTGGTGCTGTTTTTCCATGGAAGCCTTGCTGTGCCTGCTTCTAAATTTATTTGCAATCTGTATTTTCAGCAAAATCCCCTGTGCAAAAGCCTTGTCAACACTCGTGGGCCTTGCTGCGTCGCCCTGGCTTTTGTGCACGCTGGCAGCGGTGCTCCCAATGACTGTGGCTGGGCAGGTGCCAGGGACTTGGGCACAACCACTGCCCGGCGGCTCCTGACCAGCCTTTCTGTGCTGCGTGTGAAGGACGCCATGGCCTTGGAATGGTGGTTGGAGTTTTGATCAAAAAGATGCATTTCCTTGAGCAGGGCTTCACTGCTGCGTGGCTTTTCAGAGACAGCAGCCCAGCGCCCACAGGGTCCATCCCAGTCTTGGCTGTGTCCATGAAGTTCTCAGGCTGTCCATGGTCTGCACTGCCAGGACTGAGACCTGGAATTCGTCTGCTCTGCTTGAATTGTAGAGGGCTGCAACAGAAGGAAAGAGAGCGGAGCTGAAACCTGCTGATCTGCAGAGACCCGCAGGCATCCCTTCCAGCCCGTGCCAGCCCCAACCATCCCTTTCCCTGGTCAGGAGGCGCAGGCGGACAAATGGATCACCTGGAAGCTGCTGCTCAGGATTGCAACAAATGCCCCCAAG